GAATTATCCCCCTCATGGGGTAGTGGGCTCTCCTTCATTGGAGGTTTTTAAGCAGAGGGTGGAAGGCCACCTGTCATGGATACTCTATCTGAGATATCTGCATTGCAGGGGGTTACACTAGTCAAATGCACCCCTTTGTCTTGTGGCTTCATCCTACTTTAGGGTGGGTAGGCATTGGGATTGAGATGGTTATCTGTCTGACACTTTGAGGGCAGAATATCACCAGTCATGACTCCTTGGGAAGGCCCTGCAGACCTGACTGTACATCTTGGGGATTATGGCCGGCTCTCTCACCCCTCCCCTTATACCTCACTTCCCTGGGTCCTAAATGCCATTGGAACTGAGAAGATTGATACAATGGTGTGATTTCTTACTAATTTCTAAAGTTTTCCCATTGATCCTGTACATAGATACATTTATCAATGAATTGCTACATTTTGTAATATGCAGTGGAGGCTCTTCATCTTTGCCTCATAGTGTGGAGAGACAAGGCTCAGAGTGGGGGGGGAGGTCTCTCATCCCCCTTCCAATTTCCCTGTAACAAATGCAAACTTGTTTGATTTGGCTATTGCATTTAACCCTGAAATGCAGCTTAGCTAAGAGACTGACTGAGCCATGAATCAAGAAGTCTGCTGCTTAAGTCTTTGCTTTGAATTCACTATATGGCATTTGGTAAGTCACTCTTTTGCAGCCTCAGTCCCCCCATCTACAGTATTTATTTGGCCCTGCAGTTTCAGAAAACTTCTTTCCTAGCCCAACCTGGAGATGCAGGGGATTTAAAATGGAACCTTTTGCAAGCAATGGATGTCCCCTGCCAATGAGCTACAGCCCTACCCATTTTGTCAAGGGAAAGATTTTCTTCAGGCATCGCCTCCAGGCTCATAACAAAATTGTCCCAACTTTCATTTAGGGTTGGTGGTATGACGTACACCTTTGCAATGTCTCGTTCCTGCAGCTCCACAAATATTTTCTTTATAGCTAGCAGGTGGTATTTGCTGCTGTTGTAGCCTTAACATAAATGTCTCAATGCTTGCTAGCTCTGCTTAGCTTCAGCAACGGCCTCACGTTGACGAGTTGACTGTCCTCCAAACCCAGGATGATAGTGGCATGAGCTCGCTCATCCTTCTGTAGACACGCAGCATTGGGGTTGTCTGGAGTCTGTTCACTTATCAGAGGCCATAAATCCTTCCGATGCAGAAACAGCTCCATCTGGACACTCTAGGTCAAATAATTGGTTAACCACTCTTAAGAGCGTTTCTGAAGCAATGTGGTTCAGGGGGAGGAGCATATAGGGATATATACAATATTAGCCATACTCAGAGCAGGCCCACTGAAATTAATGGACATGACATGGGTCCATTAATTTCAGTGGGTCTGCTCTGAGTAAAACTTAGCTGAATACAATCTATTGACTTGCAGAGATTTGGAATGCTTATTTATTATACTTTATAGTTTGTGAGGGACTGATATATTAAAGTTGTTAAGAGAATAGTACCATGTACAGAAATTACTACCACCTCTGGTAGTAACACCTGCAAAGAGTGTTGACAGCCAGTACTAGAACGCTATATTAATGCAACTATTACAATGCTTGAGTTCAATTACTGTTTTACAGTGTTGTAAAGGGCAAAACCAGCACTACCATTCTCTTACCAATGGGACTTCCAAGTGTTAGAGCTACAAGTGTTCTTTGTACAGAAGCCAGTGCCTCAAGAGTTAAAAAGGAACAGAGCTGGTTATTAAATTGTGTAGTTTTTACTCTGGTCTATTATCTCCAGGTTTTACAGCTGTCATTTCTACTCTTTGAATACTCGTTTTGAGAAGTGATAACAATCCGTTGACAAAGAAAAATGGCTTACGTGTGGTAGAGAACTATCTATAGGAGGAAGGCATCTTCTCTCACTCTAGTAAAACCTGACTGTAATCAGTTAATGTAATCTTCTTGTAACAATACACTTCCCTGCATGCACCAGAGAGGCCTCAGGGATGGTTTTCTGTTTAGGCATGGTTACTAGACTAGCATCCATGGAAAACAAAACTGCAAAAATAAATAAATAAATAAAATGGATACAATAAAAACATGAAGCAACTAACTTATACAATCTAAAGTTTTTATCACTGTAATTCATAACACATCAGTGGTGACTATGGCATCCAGTGGGTCGTAGCTGAAAGTGAATGTTAACAGAAACAGGTTGCATTGATAATTGTCCTAGAGAGAGCTTTGCATCAGCAGCATTTGGTGGGCTGAAAAGATGATTGGCAATGATCAACAAAGCAACATGATCCTCACACAGAGTGATCCTTGCACAGCTGTATTGCCCATAACAGACAAGGTAGAGTCAGTGTGTTCTGCACAGCAGATAACTTCCAGCAACTAAATGGAATGAACAGTTAAAAGTTACTAGCTGCTAACTACTTGGGGAGCCATTCCAAATCTCCAAAGAACCACAACTTCAGCACTAGAATAAATATATAATCTTGCATCCTTTGTTCCCACAATTAATCTAAGAAGACTGCACCATTTTTTAAAGACTTAATAGTTGGAAACCACATGACCTCCAGCTATTATTATTATTATTATTATTATTAATTTATTATTATTAATTATTATTAATTATTTATACCCCGCCCATCTGGCTGGGTTTCCCCAGCCACTCTGGGTGGCTTCCAACAGAATATTAAAATACAATAATCTATTAAACATTAAAAGCTTCCCTAAACAGGGTTGCCTTCAGATGTCTTCTAAAAGTCTGGTAGTTGTTTTTCTCTTTGACATCTGTTGGGAGGGTGTTCCACAGGGCGGGTGCCACTACCGAAAAGGCCCTCTGCCTGGTTCCCTGTAACTTGGCTTCTCGCAGCGAGGGAACTGCCAGAAGACCCTTGGCGCTGGACCTCATTAGTGGCCAAATGTGGTTTGCTCTAAGGGCAGATCAGACAAAATCCTGACAAAGGAGTCTGCCTGCAGCTCTGCCTTTCGCACTTCTGTCAGGGCCATATGAAGAATTCCGTTAAGCTGGGCTGCAAACACCTTGAAGGCGAGAATTCTTTCTATTTCAAGGTTGGAGTGAAGAAACCAAAGATGCACTCCGTAAGATGAGAGCTCTTCCTAAGGGGATAGAAATGTTTACCTTTTTAGTGTCTCTACCCTCATCCCCCCAGTAACATATTGCACAGGTTCTTCTCAGGGATTATTAGCACGGAAGAATAATGCACATGTTACTCAGTTGATGTGAGGGATCCTCTCATCTTTTAACCACCTCCACCCCAATTTATGAACGACACAGCTACTTCTCATCATGCCATTTATTTGGCAGCCAACATTCCTCTGGCAGTACAAGTGAAGAACTGAGGCACTGGTTTAGCTGCTACAACACCACCCATTTCCTTGCTTTTGTTAAAGATAGAAATTGAGATGCTTGTTGCATTGTAGTCTCAAAATGGAAGTTGGAAGTATTTATGTTCTAGGAACATTTAGATAACAGAAAAATGTGTAGAGCTACTTCTAGTAGCTTTTGTTTAACATCCACCTTGATGTAGATTTCTTAATAATTATAATAATAATAAATGGCATTTTAATTTACATGAAGGTATTGCATTACTATGATAATAGAAATGCATGGGGTATATCTAAGAGGGCATAAGAGCCCATATCAATATAGGTAAGGTAAAGGTAAAGGTACCCCTGCCCGTACGGGCCAGTCTTGACAGACTCTAGGGTTGTGCGCCCATCTCACTCTATAGGCCGGGGGCCAGCGCTGTCCGGAGACACTTCCGGGTCACGTGGCCAGCGTGACCAAGCCGCATCTGGCAAGCCAGCGCAGCACATGGAAACGCCGTTTACCTTCCCGCTGGTAAGCGGTCCCTATTTATCTACTTGCACCCGGGGGTGCTTTCGAACTGCTAGGTTGGCAGGCGCTGGGACCGAACGACAGGAGCGCACCCCGCCGCAGGGATTCGAACCACCGACCTTTCGATCGGCAAGCCCTAGGCGCTGAGGCTTTTACCCACAGCGCCACCCGCGTCCCATCATCAATATAGGTATCTATCTCTAATTAGTCCAGTTTACTAGAAATGCAAGAAAAATATGCCTTTGGTTTCAGAAAACTATTATTTGGTGAAATACTGAGTAGTTTGAAAATATTTAAATAAAATGAGAGGTAGAAAATTACCGTAATTCTGATTTCCAAGCTCCATGAACTGTTTGAGGAGACAAATATATACAGAGGTGTAAATTAAAGACATGCCAATAAATACATTATTGTTAAGTTAGGAGTTAAGTTGTTAAGTTGTTGTTGCTTTGCTTGATCTGCAAAAATGTAATTCTGGCTTCTTCCTTTCATGTTTCTGTTGCCCTGCCTAAATATCTGCACTAGTCTAGAAATAAGAGTAGTCCATCTGCACAGAATTGTAGCAACCCGCTGTATCTAGAGTTCTTGTCCTAATGCAAAGATACGGTACATAGCTAGCAATCTCTACCTTCAGGGCAAGCACCAAATTATTGTTATCATTATTATTTATTAAATTTGTATTCTGCCCTACACCTGTAAATCTCAGAGCCATTCACAACATAAAATTACAAGATTAAAAACATAGAATACGTAATAAAAGCAAAAACAAAGACAACCCAATAATGCCCCATTCCACAACATATTGAAAAGGGAATCAAATGTTAAGAGGAACGTTTTTGTCTGGTGCCTGTTAATGAAGGCACTAGCTGAACCTCCCTGGGCAGATCATTCCAGGAACAGGGGGCCATCACAGAAAAGGCCCATTCTTGTCTTGCCACCCTCTGGACTTCTCATGTAAGAGGCACATGAAGAAGGGCCTCAGAAGTTGATCTCAGGGTTTGGGTAGGTTCAACTGGAGAGTAGTAGTCCTATGTCACCTAAGAAATTGTTTTCCAAGTGTGTGTGTGTGCAGTGGCAGAGTTTCATGCTCTGGCACCCGGGGGCGGAGAACAGGCGGGGGTGGGGCTGTTGCATGTCCTGGGGGCATGGCGTGCCGCCTGCCGGGGGCGTGGTGCCCAGCGCAGGCAGGGGGCAGCCATGATGGCACCCCACTGGGATCGCACTGCCGGGGGCGCTGTGCTCCTCCCGCACTCCTCGACTTCTGCCAGTGTGTGTGTCTGTGTGTGAAAGAGAGAAGCGGGGGCAATGTATCAGTTTTGTCATACCTGTACCACCTTCACCTGACTGCTGACAGGAGAAGGCAATCCTAGCAGGGCCGACAGCAAGTGGTGCACACTTTTGTACAGAACTTTATTTGAAGTTGTTGGCTCCCAGGGGCTTTTCTTGGGGGATGTGCAGGGTGTGTGTGTTTGTGCCACGGAGCAAGTCTGCCACAGAATGCCTTTCTGAAAACTACTTCCTTGACTATGTCAATCAGTGTGTCACAGCATTTTTATGACTAGGTTCCAAGTAAAGTGATATCATTTTGCAAACAAAGTGAGTAATCCTGCCATTTCTAGATAGAAAGATAATTTCCTACAACATGTAACAAAATGTTTTTTAGACAATCAGTTGCTGCTAGAGATTCAGTGACGTATACATTTTTTTCACATCAGTTCAGCCTATTTGTAAAACAAAACAGTGATCTAGTTTGTATGAGTCGTTACCACGGCTTCCCATCCAAACTGCATGTGGCTTGAAGGACAGGTAAGAGACCTCCCCCTCATATCTAGCTGATTGTATCTAGAATTCTAGAAATTGCTTTAAGAAATCTGATTCAACATAGTATTTGAGAATAAATCTTAGCCAGACAGGAAATATAATTTGTAACTATTTGCAAGATCATTAAAAACAGTGACTCTCTAGGATTTATAGTATTTTATCCCAATGGAGTGTCAGGTCATATTTAAACCTTCACACCAGAGTCCCAGCCAGCCATAAATAAATAAATAAATCCCCCGAACCCCAGACATTTAATTTAAAATGTAAAATTCCCCTTGATGGACATGTTGGCCTCTGAAAAGAGATTATGTCCGGGATTTCCCAGACATGTGGCAACCCGTGTGTGTGTGTGTGTGTGTGTGTGTGTGTGTGAATGCTGTTTGGAAGAACATGGAAGTTTACAGAACCTGGCTCCATGGCACCACTAGTCTTTTTCAGAACTAGAAATGTTTATAAGTAAGTTCTGCTACCTAATAAAGAGCAGGGTAGTTTGTTACCTCAGAATACTCTGGGTTGGTCTAACTCAGGCATGGCCAAACTTGGCCCTCCAGATGTTTTGGGATTACAACTCCCATCATCCCTAGCTAACAGGACCAGTGGTCACGGATGATGGGAACTGTAGTCCCAAAACATCTGGAGGGCCAAGTTTGGCCATGTCTGGTCTAACTGAACACACAGACCGTACATTTAAAGCACCCCCCCCAAAAAAAAGTCCTCGGAATTTTGGTTAACCACAGAGCTACAAATCCAACGCCCTTAGCAAATTACAATTTTCAGGATTATTTGGGGGGGGTGATAATAAAGTCAATATAGTCAGTGCTCGTGGCAACCAGAGACACGAGAACAATCCTCCCTTTTTATGTAAGCAAACTCTTAGAAATGATATTGTTTCTAGGAATTTATTTGCACAGTAAGAGTAGTTACATTTGCCATAAAAATTAAGCTTAGAAGCAGAATGCAAATATGAAATTACTTTGTGTTTTTCTTCTAGCTGAACAAAGTTGAAATCACCATCGACATGAGTTCCGGATCTAGTGCACAAAGAATTTTTTTAAATGTACGTTACTATTTTATCATAAGATATTTGCTGGAAATGGTATTCTCAAAAATTCTGCATTCCTAAAAAGTTTAAATTATATGCCAGTATGCATTTAAATGCTGCAGTTTATGGTCCCATTGAGTTAAAATGCAAAAACTCCAATAGTTTGTAATGATTCTGGATTGTGCCCTAAGTAAATATATGTAAATAATTTTATTACCCAACTTCCCACAAACATACATATATGCATGCCTCAGAATTTGGATATGCTTTCCCTGAAAAATGTGACAAAGAGATAGTAAAGATAGCATCACTGTCACATAAGTAATTCACAGGCAACAGGTTGCCCTAAAGGTGATTATATGGATCTAATCAAAGTACTTTCGGGAATTGGTTTGAAGTATAGGTTCAGGTGCATAGATCTAATCAACCTGGATGCAACCTAGTTGATTTGAAATGTAGGTCATGGAACTGCCTCTAAGCGCTGCAAGGTTAGCCACTGGCATTTTAAAGTAGCTTGGAACTATCTGTTAAGAATACAGCATATGGTACATTTCAAGTGTTAAACAAAGTAAGCATGTATTAAATTTACGTTTGTAACCAGAGAGTTAGCTTCTTCTGTTTATGTTGCTATTTGGAAGCTGCTTTGAAGTTCAGTCAAATGTCACTGACAGTACATTTTTGCTTTACGATCAAAGCCCTGTTACAGTGACATGTATGCAATGCTGTGAGAACAAAGGGGCGGTTCTCCTGACCCATACTTGGCCTCTGTGTACACCTTTGTCTGTGCCTCAACCTCACCCACGTTGCACTATGCAGTCATATAAATTGTCAGCTTTGAGCATCAAGTACATAATGCCAGACCTTGCTGCTGAATACACTGCATTTTCTTTAACTTAAATGCATCATTTTGTGCACGCAGTTTGGAATTTTAACACTCAGGTAAGCACTCAGGTCTGCTTTTTTTTTACTGATGCTTGTTTTCAGTTTTATTTCCTTATATACAAAGTTGATAGAACATACAGCTGTAGAAATGAGCCACAGAGAAGAACTGTTAATTAACCAGTGTAATTCAGGGAGCTGTCATTTAATGTTTCTGTTGCAGAATCAGGATACATAAAGAAATTGATTATTCTTTCAAGAATCATCATTGATTTTATTTATACCGTAAGTATAGATCTCTTTAACCTTTTTATGAAACAGTATGCCATTTAGAATGAACAAAATTTATTCAGACGTTTCCTCTTGACAAATATTGGATGATCCTGCCTTATCCAGGGCAAATGGACAAAAGCATTTCAAGTGACATAGGTGAATGTGTAATATTCCAAGTGCAACCTCTTTCATCCACAAAAGGTCCATGCTCTACTGGTTGATTTAGTATCCGGATTTAGATTACCTGCAACAAAAGTAATATAGCACAATTTTACCTTTTTTGTAGATGTTATTGCGCAAGTATGAAATGTAAATTTGAAAATAACCATTGTTAGTAACTATGGAAATTAGTAAGTGCAATTTATTATATTTTCCCCAAATTAAACATGTTTAGTTTAGGACAGGGATGGCTATTTCAGCAAGAAATCTCTGAATCTCTCTCACTCTCTCTTGCAAGGCTGCCAACTCGAAACAGAGTTGAGCTCCTTTAGATGGTTATTTCTTTTCAATTTTGTTTGCTCTGGATAAGGGGTTGTTTAATCCTTTCTTTCCTCCAACCTTGAGTAAAACAGGATCTTCTGTATATTTACTTGAAGCACAGTGGGTATCCATTTAAATTTTTGATCTCCTTTGGAGACTCTGCTGGTTAATAGCCCTGTGCACCCATAGTATGGGAATGGTGAATTCACAGCAACAAAAATATAACTCCTAAAGCATTGTCACTCATTCAGCTTTCTCCTGGGATATAGTAATCTGTACATTACATTATGCAATACAGTACTTTGTATTGCTCCTTTCCTTGTAAACACAGTGGGAATGCAGTTAGTTGTCAAGCACTAAAGTCAGATTACACAAAGTGCCATTTCCTATTGTTCACGCACTGCCTGGGTAATTGGTAAGAGGAAACTTGCCTGGTACATGTGAGACCTTGACACTGATTATTACTATTGCAAGTGTGTCTGTGAAGGTCTTCTAGGGGTAGGGGAAACTCCATGATCAGTTGACTGAGGGCCATTGTTTAGACTGATTTAACTAGCAGCTGACCTGAAGTATGTACTAAAAATAACTGGGAAATGATAGAAACACCACTAGAAATTGTATGTTGCAAGGGTCAAATTGCACTTCTTTGAAAAGTAGCAGAAGATGCGTTTGGGTGGAAGATACTCACTAATGTTTCTTGGAAAAGGAAGTAAGATTTTCTCCTCCACTGTTTGTCCTCATATCTATATCAAATCTGCTCATTAATAATCCTTGAACTAGGAAGGAATATTTTTTGTTCTCCTGGATAAGTGATGAGTATCCCCTGCATATTTCAATGGAAAAGGAAATAATTAAAAGGAATTGAATTAATCCAACCACACTGCTGGTATAGAATCATAGAATCATAGAGTTGGAAGAGACCACAAGGGCCATTGAGTCCAACCCCCTGCCAAGCAGGAAACACCATCAGAGCACTCCTGACATATACAAATATAATAAATAAATAATAAAGATTAAAAAAATAGTTTGTTCCCAAATGTATGTGAAATCAATAATGGCCAATGTAAATAAGTTATGTAAATGTATCTTTAGCAAGCAACGAACCTGGCAAACCAAACACCTTGGCTGCAATGCTTAATTGCTTAATCAGATTAATCAATTAAACATATTTAGTTGACTAAAAGACTTCACAATTAATCCTCCACTACATATTGTTTCTTATTTTTAACACGAATTACTCATGAATAAGACTTGGGCCCGGTCTTATTCAACATCTTTATCAACGACTTGGATGATGGACTCAAGGGCATCCTGATCAAATTTGCAGATGACACCAAACTGGGAGGGGTGGCAAACACCCCAGAGGACAGGATCACACTTCAAAACGACCTTGACAGTTTAGAGAACTGGGCAAAAACAAACAAGATGAATTTTAACAGGGAGAAATGTAAAGTATTGCACTTGGGCAAAAAAAAATGAGAGGCACAAATACAAAATGGGGGACACCTGGCTTGAGAGCAGTACATGTGAAAAGGATCTAGGAGTCTTGGTTGACCACAAACTTGACATGAGCCAACAGTGTGACGCGGCAGCTAAAAAAGCCAATGCAATTCTAGGCTGCATCAATAGGAGTATAGCATCTAGATCAAGGGAAGTAATAGTGCCACTGTATTCTGCTCTGGTCAGACCTCACCTGGAGTACTGTGTCCAGTTCTGGGCACCACAGTTCAAGAAGGACACTGACAAACTGGAACGTGTCCAGAGGAGGGCAACCAAAATGGTCAAAGGCCTGGAAAGGATGCCTTATGCGGAACGGCTAAGGGAGCTGGGCATGTTTAGCCTGGAGAAGAGGAGGTTAAGGGGTGATATGATAGCCATGTTCAAATATATAAAGGGATGTCACATAGAGGAGGGAGAAAGGTTGTTTTCTGCTGCTCCAGAGAAGCGGACACGGAGCAATGGATCCAAACTACAAGAAAGAAGATTCCACCTAAACATTAGGAAGAACTTCCTGACAGTAAGAGCTGTTCGACAGTGGAATTTGCTGCCAAGGAGTGTGGTGGAGTCTCCTTCTTTGGAGGTCTTTAAGCAGAGGCTTGACAACCATATGTCAGGAGTGCTCTGATGGTGTTTCCTGCTTGGCAGGGGGTTGGACTCGATGGCCCTTGTGGTCTCTTCCAACTCTATGATTCTATGATTCTATTCTATGATTCTATGAAGACTGTAGATGCAAGTACTGTCTTCACACACAAAAAGAATGCTCTTCTAAGATGATGCTTGCTGCACCAAACAATGGTCAGCTAGGTTTAACTTACACTCTGGCATTGATAGTCCTGTGCCTGCTCTTGTTAAAGGGGCTGCATCTGGGGGTCCTCCTGGTGCTCATTTAGCTGAGTGGATGCTGGGTTTTGCCACAAATCCCTGGCCAGCATACATGTGTGGAAATATGCTTTTGGCTTTGGGGATGTTGTTTTTACTAATATGAAATTTAGACAAATTTAATCTATAAATTAATAGTTTGAGACTTACATGATTAATGAATTAACATTTTTATTACTGGGTTGCATCCCTATTCAGAACTCATATGAAACTATTCTAATGAGCCCCACATTGGATGAAATGGGGTTGGATTAGAATGATCCATGTGGCCCTTTTAACTATGATTCTATGGTAACTAATTTTGCCTTCGTGGGATTCCCCCCTCCCCGTTTCTTCACCTTGATTGGAGGTCAGCTCAACAGGCCATTTAAGTTTACACTTTAATAATGTTGATCGTATGCACTGGTGTAGTGGACTGAAGAGCTGGCATCATAATTCATAAATAAAGCTACCACTGATGACAGATATTTCGACAAAACGTTTTCCTTACCAACCTCACTCTTGATTTATGCTAAGAGGTAGAACTATATCTGTGTTGAGTTCTTGGAGAGGAAGGGGTTTGGGAACATCACCTGCAAGCCACACAGGAGCAGTACCCATCTATTCATTTAACAGACCAGGGGCTAGCACAGGCTTCCTCAACCTCAGCCCTCCAGATGTTTTTGGCCTACAACTCCCATGATCTCTAGCTAGCAGGACCAGTGGTCAGGGATGATGGGAATTGTAGTCTCCAAACATCTGGAGGGCCGAGTTTGAGGAAGCCTGGTCTAGCAGATGAGCCGAAGACTGATGAAGAAAAGCTCCGTTCTCTTTGGTAACTGCTCCATAAATTAATTTCTTCTCCTCTCCTCTCATTCTGGTTGCCACGAGATTGCTAGATCAAAGGTCGAATTGAAAGGCAGACTGGACTCAGTCTTAGACACACAGCAATCCATAGGTTAAGGATGGCACTTTCAGATGTAATGCTAAACCATACTTCAGTATAATACCCTCATTCTGTTTATATCACAATGCATATTCACAATAATAAACAGCAGTTAATAGGCTATAGATCAGTCATAACCCATTTAAACTCATTGGGATGTAGTACAATGGACATAACCTCCAAACTGGATTTAATTAAAGTTACAGTAATATTTAAAGAATTTATAGTGCTGTTTGACTATGCTAGACAGACTGGTGCTGCAATTTGCGGGGGCGTGGAGGTGGAGTTAACAAAAAATAAAGGAGAATTGCCCAAATAAATTACCGTATTTTTCCGTGTATAAGACACCCCCATACTTTTGGGGATCCCAAATTTAGAAAATGGGCATATGCATTATCTGTTTATAAGATGCCCCCAGATTTTTAACCTTATTTTAAAGTAAAAAAATCTAGCCTTATACACGGAAAAGTACAGTAACTGCAGGAACAAAGGAAGCAGTTAACAAAAAATCAGGACCACTGAGCTATTGAATGCAGCAGTGTTTGCTGTTAGATTTAAAATTAATTGTGTTTACATAAAGGGTAACAGATATCTGCTGACTGCCAACTGAGTATTTATTTAGTTTTGATGAAAATAATCCTAGCTGTTTCATCAGACAGAAAACATTTGGAATAAAACAAGGTGTTTTTGTCTTCAGGGCATTCGAAGAATAGGCGGTGATCAAGAACTACGAGCGGTCAGAATAATATGCGAACAGGTAACTTCCTTAAGGTTTTTGGCTGTACCTATATTCACAACTCTGTTATATTTCTGGCTGCTCAATGGTTTGTTTTTGTGACTCATCAAACCACTTCACATACTGGTTTCATATACTTGTGCTCACCTGTTCTCTCTCCTGCCCTTGTGGAAAGGGTTTATTTTATTACCTTTTAACCTGGTTTGGATTGTTTGATTGCAACCAGTATCTTGTAATCCTCCTTACATTTAGCCCTGTCATATGGATTCGTGTTATCCCCATATTTCAGATGGGTGGATGAAGTTTAGAAAGTAAGAACGCCACTTAGTCATGGCAAGAGGTGAGATACAGTTATACAAAAGAATAGAGAAGGTTGGAGAAAATAAGGTCATTCTGTACTTCCTCTGGCAAATTAACTTGTTTCTTGGGCAAAACATTCATAGGTAATGTGTGTTGACAAGATTGTGGATTTTGCAGACTATTTTCAGACATTTGCTATTTTGAACCGAATTGCCTGATGTATTAAAATATGTGCATGCAGTGGTGTGTCCCTCATTTGCAGGTGCATACAAATTTTAGGCTTCTGTTTACATTGCCAGATTAGTGGGCACAAATATTCAGCTGATGTTGATGTGCATATTGAACAGCATAACATATTAGTGTGGAAATGTGGAATTATCTATGCATAAAAGAATTAGCATGATTAAAGAAACTCCATATTTGCTTTGCTTGTGGGCAGCATATTGTTCCTATGCACAGTGATAGAGATCACAGTGGAGATGATCATACCTATATATTAATTAACTTTTCTAAGCAAGAAAGCTTATGGAGAAATGAAATACTACCTGCTCTCACAGAAATGTTCCACCATTTAAATACTATTTTCCTATTTTAGTATCTAATTTTTATTTGATTTAGTATATGCCCACCCTCAGTATGTTCTTGAATGCAATATGTTCTTTAATGTTCAAGAATGTTTTGTTAACGGTTTCCCTGAAGTTTACTAGATCATGAGTTGTTGGCATCACTTTCCACTCTCTATTAGACTGCACAAGAACACAGCCATAACATCATAAAAACAATGGCTCATCTAGTTCCTGCAAGCAGGACCTGAGCACAAGACCCCCTCCTGTGGTTTCCTGCAACTGGCATCCAGAAGCATTGCTGCCTCTGCAGAGCCATCCTGGCTGGTAGTCACTGGCAATCGGTACAATTAGTTGGTGGGGCTCCCCTTATAGTGCAAGCACATAACAGCCCTTCTCTTTACTATCAACTTATGGTTTTGCCATAAAATCAGTGTACTGCAGAAATAGGATGGCTACTAAGAGAGGTGATTTTTCCCACTAGTTTCAGTGTATAGCTTGGGGAAAATGAACTAGGTGGTTCATTGCAATTACCTTCCCATCACCTCTTTCTGGACCTGAGCAAGGGAACAGGCCCAACGTATAGCATCTTGAGTTTCCTGTCCTCCAATGGAGTGAGATTATAGCTTGGCACGCATATGATTAGCATGCAGAAAGTCCCAGCATTTCCCATTTAAAAGGAGCTCAGGGATGGGAAAGAGACAGAGTGCCACGATCATTCAGAGCAGATACTGCTTGATGCCTCTGGTCTGGCAGTGTAAGGTGGCTTCCCATATACTAAAATGCCCTTTTAAAATGTTGTGGTTCTTTTTTTAGGGGTGTTATTGGGTTGTTGTTTTTATTTTTATTTTATATTTTGATTTTGTTCTGTGAACCACCCTGAGACCTCCAGGTATAGGGCGGTATATAAATTCAATCAATAAATAATAAATATGGCCATTCCAAGGATGCTGGGAAGGGAGGAGGCCGCAGGAACTGAGTTCTAGCACTTTTGATACAAGCTTTCTTTTACCATGAAAATCAATACAATAATTCATCAAAAATATGAATTCCTTAATAGGCTATTCTCTGCTTCTCCTGACTAGATTCCCCCCACCCCCCACCCCAGATTTCCAGACTAGTTTATTTTTTTAGTTCCTTAACTTGTTTCTCCCATCTCCAGAAAGCATGCACACCCACCCACACCGCTACATGTACTAGTAAGAAGGAATCCAGTAGGCAAGTTGTACTGCACCACAGATCATAAACATTTCAAATTGCAAAGTGTCCTGAACCTTTGAGATAGGATGCAAATAATGAATGCTCCTCCACCCACACAACTGACCGATGTCTTGAATACAATTTCATCCTGTTTGTTTATGGTACAATGTACAAACAACTACTATATAAGAAATTCATTTGTTGTTCTCCATGTAATTAATATTCAAATCATTTCTACATGATAACTTGATTGCAATATTTTGGAGTCATATAGGCAAATACCTGTCTAATTATTCTGAATTTGAATATTTTTGGCATTCTTTATCCTTAGGCCCTGTGATTTCTACTTCCCCTTTTGCTTCTGTGCAGCCTTTTAGATCCCATGCCTTCCCGCAGCACACAGTCTTTAATATACCTAGTCAGAATCTCTCTCTCACCCAGGAAGGGGGGCCTTTACTTCCATGGCCACACTGCATTCAGCAAGTGACTAACTCCCAAAGTTCCCCTGGCTTCAAGCCCCTTCAGTGCACTCCTGTCACAAAGCCTGTATGAAAATCTCCCCCAGCCAAGTTGGCATTCCACTTCCTTCACTGTAGCTGCATGGAGTTCAGCATTCACAGCACAAGTTACAAAATTCAGAAGAGCCTACAAATGAGTACAGAGACTGATGATATTTACTGTAGCTTTTTATATGAGCTTTTAGAGTGTTTTGTAAACCATGAAGTTACTTGTAGTGATTACAGCCCTCTAAATACAGTAACACAACATTTGTATTCTAGTCACATTGTAGACATGCCATAATACAGACTGTAGGCCTGCCTCGAAATCAGACTTCTCTAACAAACTTCACAGAATCTGAATAAAAATAGAGAAACTCAGGTTAGATGGGTTTATTTTGTCAACAAAGAACAGTACCGGATGAACAAGCAAATCTGGTTATGGTTCTGTAAAAACAACATCCCTGAGCTCCTCTCTGCCCTCCCGGCTTCCTACCTGGGCTGTGCTAGTCAGGAAGCAGCATTTCTGTTCCTGGCTGGGCTGCGGGATATTTCTCCACTTTGACAGATCATGCCTTTAGAGACTCACATTTATATATGGGAAATATCAGCTTAAGCTAGATCTCTTTTTTAGTGTTTGAAAATGGAAAAATTGGTACAACTTTCCGACCATTTAAAAAGTGGTCTTACTGTGGCACCATGTTTCCATATTTGCTGTCCCATTTTCAGGTGCTGCTAGAAATAACCGTGACTATGACACCTAGAGTGCAAGGTAGCACATAGTTCTCAAGGGTGTTATGCCACAAGCGGATTCTTTCTTAATGGAGATGCTTGGTCTTAACATGTAGCAATATTTTTAAAAATCTTTTTAAAAATAGCTCTTGCTAAAATATTCTTTCTGATAAATATTGATATAATGTATAGCAGGAGGAGCTGCTAACTTGTCCCACCCATTGCATTCACCTAGAGAGGGGGGTATAATTTATTTGTTTCAACAATTATTTGGTGGGGGGAGGCCTTAAAGGCAAATAATATCTTTTCTTTGTGGAATGATATTCCCTGCAAGCTGATCTCTTGAGAGAACTCTAAGGCCACGAAGAGATGCTGGGCTCCTCTTCCCTGCTCTCACTGTCCCCTCCCACCAGCCACTTTCTTTCAGGTGATTATAGTGGATCTGGACAGGAGTGTTAGCAAAAGCAGCTGCTGATCTTTGCCTCTTCCATTACGCTGACATTAGTTTGCTTGTCTCAGATATCTGATTACCGTCTTCCAAAGCAACTACTCTATTCCAAACTTAAAATGGAAATTGTAATGCTGGTGGTCAACAAAAGAGGTTTAAAGACTCTCTCAAGGCAAATCTAAAAAGTATAGCTTAAACACTGACAATTCAGTAACACGGGCCTGCAAGTGCCCCAGTTGGAGAACAGCCTTTACCAAAGGTGTCATGGACTCTGAAGACGCTCAAACTCAGGATGAAAGGGGAAAACGTGCTAAGAGGAAGGTTCATTTGGCAAACCCTCACCGTGATCAACTCCCACCTGGAAACCTATGTCCCCACTGTGGAAGGACATGTGGATCCATAACTGGCCTCCACAGTCACTTACAGACTCATTGTTAAAACCGTGTTTATGGAAGACAATCTTACTCAGCTGCATATGATCGCCAAAGAAGAAGAGTAAAAGCAGCAGCTCTTTATTTCCTTTGTTCTCCTGGAAGATCTTTAGCATTACTTCTCTTCCACTTTAAACTCCGATACTAGGTGAAACTCAGCAAAATAATATCACAGTTTTCAGGTTACCAGCTGGCCAGTGCCAGATTACCAGATAAGCAGAGTAGGCAGCGGCCTATGGGCCTTTTAGGGGCCCCATGACAATGGATCAAAATAATACTAATTTGATCTTGAAAGAAAATTACAGTCAAGCTTTCTTAGTTCCATGTTATCCCACTAGAGCGTGCATAAAGAGGGGCGGGGCAAGATTTCAATTGCCTAGGGATCTCCACAGGGTTTATGGCAGTGCAGATGGCTAGTTTTTGATCTGTTGGACCCGTTTATTTCTGAATAGGGTTGTTGTAGTGGTTACTAAAGTTCACTCTCAGTGCTAGCTTAAAGGCAACTTTTAATCTAGGTATTTTAATATATTGTGCTGTACCTTTCAGCCTCCTTACAGCATTGTTCATGCAACTCAAAATGCAGGAAATGAAGAAAGGTGTTGTCTGCCTGCCTCTCTTGATGATTTGGCAAAGCTTCAGGAAAATTCAGAAATGTTGTAAGAGATCCTTATCAGGGAAAGATGTCAGAGGCAGAACTAAATTGGTGGACGGATGGAGTTTTAGCATTTTCTACGTTGTTATTTGAATTCACTTTTAACCAGGATATTCTGCCATCTGTCCCCTTCCTGTCCTTGAGTTTTTAGCAAGAAAGATATTTTTATTTAAAGATTGTGTACCCTTAGGGTGTTTTTGTGGAAGCTTTCCTAGTGGCTGCACATCAACTATGGAATACCTTGCGCTATGAAGTGCGTTAGCACACTCACTTGGAGTTCTTAGTTGAAGATAGTGTGTGGCATACTTTTCTTGTAAGTGGCATATTTCCTCCATCTGTTTTGTTTGTTGCTGTTCCTCCATCTATGGCTCAGGAGCAGCAGTGGAGGCAGGGACCACTGGGCAAGTCAAGTAGTTGGGAGAGCTCTGGGTTGGTGGGTTTGCACACACCTGTATGTCAGAGCTAACATCATATCCTTTTGAAGACAGTGGTACCACCACCACTGTGAGGATGCCTCTCCCTCTGACAAGCCACTTCTGGTTTCCTCTATCCTTGCTTAGTTGTTTTATATTGTTGTTTTTTATGAAATAGCAATTTTAAATGTAGCAAATATTTGTGTTTTATGTTTATGTTCTTTTCCACCAGAAGGGTGGGATATAAATGTTTATGTGTGTATCAGCAGCTCTGAAGTAGCTATTGGAGAAACAGTGCAGCGTAATCATTACACTATTTGATTAGGACTGGGAGAACTAGATTTTCAATCCTTACTCACTGGAGAAGTTCTATTTGTGAATTTGGCCAGTTACTTTACTGGCTGAGAACAAGCCTAGCCTTCCCCTAGGCTAATGTGCTCCTCGCCTCCTCTGGTGCAACTTTGAGGAGGAAATCAGAAGCTTTGCCTCTTGTTTTTGTCTGAACTCAGAAAAACTGTGGTTAATCTTATCTGTGCTTAGTGGAAACAAGTAGACTTTTCAATCTGAAGGTGTAAGGAAGATTTCAAGATTTGTCTTTTAATACTTGGGGAATGCTTTTTAGCCCTGTGGAACCTTCAATGTGGGGTTTCACAGGGCTCAATCCTATCCCCCATGTTGTTTAGCATCTACATGAAACTGCTGGGTGGGGTTACCTGGAGGTTTGGAGTATGTTGTCAGCAGTATGCTGATGACACTCAGCTCTATTTCTCCTTTACACCTGCAGGTGAGGCAGTGGAAGTGCTGGAAGTCTTGCCTCAGTAATGGACTGGATGAGAGCCAACAGACTGAAGCTCAGTCCAGATAAGACTGAGGCACTGTTAGTGGCTGGTTCCTCAGACCGGATGGGTGGGAGGTCATCTGCTCTTGATGGGGTTACGCTTCCTCTGAAGGAGCAGGTTCGTCACCTGGGGGTCCTCCTGGATACTTTGCTGTCGCTCGAGGCTCAGGTGGCCTCAGTGGCCCAGAGTGCCTTCCATCACCTTCAGCTGGTGGCCCATCTATGCCCCTATCTGGACAGGGATAGCCTAACTACTGTTGTCAATGCTCTGATAACCTCAAGGTTAGATTACTGCATATGTAGGGCTGCCTCTGAAGAAGGTTCGGAAACTTCAGCTGGTGCAGAATTCCATGGTCAGGTTGCTCACTGGAGCAAGATGGTTTGAACATATTGCACCGATCCTGCCCTGATTGCACTGGCTACCAATTAGTTTCTGGGCCCAATTGCACTGGCTACCAATTAGTTTCTGGGCCCAATTCAAAGTAGTGGTTTTGACCTATAAAGCCTTAAACAGCTCAGGACCGCAATACCTCAGGAACCGCCTCTTTCCATATGAACCTACCCGGACCCTGGGATCATCTTCTGAGGCTCTTCTTCGTGTACCTCCTCCTTGAGAGGCCAGGAGGGTTGCAACACAAGAACGGGCGTTCTCTGCCCTGGCTCCCCATCTATGGAATGCTCTCCCCAGGGAAATTCACCTGGAGCCTCCATTATACACCTGTAGGTGCCAGGCAAAAACCTTCCTTTTTAACCAGGCCTTTGGTTGATCTGATTTATATCCTATGCCCTTTTAAAATGTGTTTTTTTGGGGGGCAGTATTGGGTTGTTGTTTTTTTATTTTTATTAGTATTTTGTGGTTTTATATCTTGATTTTTATTCTGTGAACCTCCCTGAGATCTCCGAAAATACTACTACTACTACTACTACTACTACTACTACTACTAATAATAATAATAATAATGCAAGCAGAGCCTATCAAGTAAAATCTGAAGGCTGAGTTTTATGCAATTAAAATCCCACTGAACTCAGTTGCAAAAGGATACCCCTACTCTAATGCAGTGTTTCCCAACCTTTTTTGGGCAAAGGCACACTTGTTTGATGAAAAAAATCTTGAGGCACACCACCATTACAGCCCCGTGACGTCAGCGCGCAGCGTCACGCCGGGAGGGAAGGGCGCCGGGGCGCTGCTGCTGCTGCTGCCGCCGCCGCTCCCGGCAGGCATGGGCCCAGCTGAGGCGGCGGCGGCTGTTGTGGTGGTGGCGGCGATAGCGGGCGGAGGAGGGGGTGGCGGCGGGGCCGAGGTGGCCGGCGGCGGCGGGGGAGGAGGCGGCGGGTGGAGCAGGAGGGCGGCCGAGGCCGGTGAGGGAGTAGGGTTGCCCGGGGCTTGAGGAGCCGTCGCCGGGAGTTGCTGCTGCTGTTGTTGCTGCTGCTGCCCGGACATGCCGGCCTCCTCCTCGTCCGCTGTCTCGCGCTCCTCCCTTTTGCGTGCGCTGCCCCGCCGCCGCCCCATTGGCCGGGTCCTGTCAGCTGATCCTGTGTTATTTCCTGTGTGTGTGTGTGAGGGGAGAATGGAGAGAGAAACCTCGGCACCACCACCGCGGAGCCGCCCCCGGCTCGACGCGGATCCTCGCCGCCGCCGCCCCGCCTCTCGCCGCCCGCCTCGCCCGCCTCCCTCCCACGGCACACCAGGCAACGTCTCGCGGCACACTAGTGTGCCGCGGAACACCGGTTGGGAAACACTGCTCTAATGCACTAGCAGAGACCTCGGATCTGTGCAGATATTGGACTGAAACCGGTCCTGACTCCTGCATTACCAGTTTTCCACAAAGTACTGAAGAGCCAGCCCTGCATCAGGGTTCCTGTTCTTGGTCCTTTGGCAGAAGGAGAGGATTCAATAAGTCTCTGCTTTCCTTTGCTGAAGCCCTTTTGCACAGACCATAAAGCAAACAAACGACAACGCTGCCTTTCCCACTCCTCTTTTGTAGGGTTTTGTGCTTGGATCTTGTGTCCACCTGTTCATGCAAAACAATCCCAAAAGCTGTGTTTGCATAAGAGGAGATGGCGATGATGCCTATGCATTTGCAGGCTGTGAGAGTAAGGTTAATCCTTCTTTTATTTGTCATGATTAAAAGTAATAATAATAGAAACACTTTTTCATACAATATGAAGGCAAACAAGGTGTTAAAACACTTCAGTAAGTTATTCTATTTCCCCACATCATCACATTTGTTTCATGCAAGAAGAGCAGGCTAAAATTAACCTACCTTATATTTCTTTTTGTTTTAGATCATGAAGAACTTTGTGGCAGCAGTTATGGATCTTTTTGTCTGAATGGTGGGATTTGTTACACGATACCTGCCATTTCCAGTCCCTTTTGCAGGTAAATGTTTGTATTTTCATTGCTACATAAGAGTCATCTCCTGGGCTAAATTAGCAATGGAGGAAACACATTATTTCATCAGCTTATCTAGAGCATGTTTCTTATGTCTTGATGATATAATCATTTGTGTGCCACCCTTCAGGGAATATCCCACTCAAGGTAAATCACATTGGAAACATTTAAACTGCATTGTTTTTAGGTAATATACAAAGGGGCTTCTTCAGACTTTTGTAGGGCTTGAGACAGATAAAAGGTAAAGGTACCCCTTGCCCGTACGGGCCAGTCTTGACAGACTCTAGGGTTGTGCGCCCATCTCACTCTATAGGCCGGGGGCCAGCGCTGTCCGGAGACACTTCCGGGTCACGTGGCCAGCGTGACAAAGCTGCATCTGGCGAGCCAGCGCAGCACACGGAACGCCGTTTACCTTCCCGCTGGTAAGCGGTCCCTATTTATCTACTTGCACCCGGAGGTGCTTTCGAACTGCTAGGTGGGCAGGCGCTGGGACCGAGCAACGGGAGCGCACCCCGCCGCGGGGATTCGAACCGCCGACCTGACGATCGGCAAGCCCTAGGCGCTGAGGCTTTTACCCACAGCGCCACCCGCGTCCCTTTGAGACAGATAGTGCTCTCCTAATACGCACGCTAACCACCTAGTCACACACAAGGCTGCCAAGGCTGCCTGAGGGTCTACGCCTCTTTCCTCTGGTGCTAGTAACTTTGCCACCTCATTGCCTTTGCAGTTGCCATCGCTGCCAGGCTTATTTTGTCTTTAGCCCCAATCTGGTGTGTCAAGGAGCAGGAGTGGTAGTTTATTAGCACACTTCCATTTAGTAACACATCTGTTATATTCTTCTTTGCACAGTTGTAATGCCAGTACCTGATGCTAAGTGGTACATATAAACCAAGACTGTAATCATAATTGTCCTCTATAAAAATGGTTATTGGCACACAGTAACTGCCTGTGGTAAGCATATATGGGATGAGACAGAGCACTTTATACTGACAAAGCACAGCACAGGGAACGGAATTGTTCACAGGACAAGAAAAGAAGCGAAGGGTTCAACAGAACGAGTAAACATTAACCGCCTACTTAAAGAGTGACACAGCAATGGCACAGCTTGGCTAGAGAAGTTGTGAAATGCCCTTCCTTTGATTTTTCTATTTCTTTTAAAGTTGGACAGACAACTGTCAGGTATTATGTCATCTGGTTTTAGTATAACCATCAATTTTGCTTTGTTTATTTAGTTCATTAGTTACTAGTCTTTATATTGCATTTTATTGCTCTAGTCAAATCAGCTAACAACAATCACATATACCAATATGTGGGTTTCATGCACAAAGATGTGTTTCATGCATCTCTGTGTTCAGAAACCAGTATCTGAACAAAGAGGCCACTTGCTGGCTGGATAACCTACACCTCCTGTTGTGTGGACTATGATGTTACCTGCTCCCTTTCTGCTATAGAGTATAAAACACACCTTGCTTATCCATTCCCCTTCCTCCACCCTTCAGGAAATGGGCTGCATTTCATTGTGTTAGCAATCACTGGGACTGGGAATCAGGATATTGAGCTGCTAGGATCTTCCTCATCTACCTGGCTTTAGTGTTAAATGAAGTAGCCACATGCTGAATTTTCACTTGTACCACTTCAGCAAGCATAACTTTGGGCAAAGTCAGGACTAGCGACTCATTTTTTCCCATTGCACCAGAAGAGGCTAGTGAATATGGAAGTTGTTACAACTTCTTATCAACTTATTTAGTAGCAATTCTATCCTGCCAAGTATGTAACTAATGGATGGGATCGCTCTGTGAATTAGAGTATTCTGTTCCAGCATGTTCTTATTCAAAGCATGGCATGCTCCTTATCAGTCAGGCAAGAACGCTAATTATAAATAAGAAAGGTTTTGTTTACACTGTGCTATCACTTGGTAATCAGTAGAGCTAGGAATAGTATTAATGGAAGAATATGTATTCCACAGCTCAGTGGTATTACAGAAGGACCAAATGCTTGCTTAGACAAATACTGGCATGTAAAGGATCTATCCCTAGATCTCACCCCAACTTCTCCAAGTTGCTAATCCTCTGCCTTGATTCCTTCTCAAATGATTGGCAAAATTGTAGCTCTGTGCAGAAAAGACTGGGTGCTAAGGTAGTTGGTTTCCATAGCCAGTAGTAGAGTCAATCACTAGAAGACTTGAAGAAGAGAGTTGGCTTGGGACCCCAAAGTCCATAAAAATCTTGTTAATATTTATCTGATTGAAATGACATTTGAATCATCTTGGCTGGTTTCTATGTGCTATAAAATGTAAGGCAAGAATTCATAGTGATCTTTCTGCCTAGGGAAGATCTTGTGAGAGTACATCTTCCTCACTGGCCCACCCACCCCTAAAGACTTTTTCCAGACATTTAAAGTTCTCATGGTAAAGAAAAGAAACTGCATTGCCATTTAAAACTGTCATAGTCACACTTGGATGCCCATACCACTACTCTTTGAGCTGTACACCAATGGACCTATAACTTTAATGTATATCTCTTGTGATCACGTGTGGACTGGCAATTGGGGGGGGGCTGTAATTTAAATGCAAAGGAAATGTGCAAATAGAATTTTTAGCTTTCTACTCCCTCATTTCCCTCATCTGTGTTTGTCTCCAGAAAGCCCACTTTCGGTATCAGAGTTCAGTTGGGGAGGAAATGGGAGGAGAATTTGGTGGTGGGGGGGTCCAGCCTCCCCACAACCAACTGCTTTGCACTTTGATTTGGCACCTGATCCCACACTGCTCCACGTTTCATGTGATTGGGCCAGATCTGCATCTAATCTGTAGTTTAGCCTGGTTGCCATATTTGGGGTATTGCAGAGGATAGAAAACCTCCACTTTTCCATCATATTGCTGATTTAGTCCCGTATTGTGTTTTGAGCACAAGGAAAATGTGATAGCCCTGCAACAAAAGTGCTTGCTTGGGGAAGACTTCTAGTTCCTCTGCGGCAGTTGACTGTTTATCAAGGCAGAAAGTTCTCTGGAAAAGTCCTAAAGAGTGAATGATGAGGGATCACTGCAGTGCAGGCCCAAATGTGGTCTGAGGCTTCTTGGCAATAAAAAAATGCTGTATTGAGAAAAGTGGAATGCTAAACCAGGACACATGATGCAAGAGAACCTTGTGTAACTCTGTGGACTGTGGACTGTGTACACAGCAGAATTACACCTTTCTTTTGAATAGATAAACATGCCCTTTAATGAGTACATGAAGGAAATGATTCCTGTTTGCTTTTGGATTTTTCAGAGTTACTGCTCTTTTTGGCAGAAATGGGGATTTGGGTGAAGCAGGAGAGGTCTCATAGCTGACACATGGCCTTTCAAAAGCTATGAGGCTACTACTACCCATTCAGATACAAAATCCCACACCGATGGTAACATATTTTTTGGAAATAAGGCTGAGTGAATTTAACAGGACCCACATTGAATCCCGTGGCTCCATTTAAAATGTTAGGTCCCCCAAAATCAGTAGCAGTCAATGGGAGAAACTTTTATATACCAAGAGGAACACTTTTAATTTGGCCTGATAACAAATTGGCAGTCAGTGCAGACCTCTGAGCAAGGGTCCATCACATAGCCTGAGCTATACCCAGATTGAAATGGGTCTAGATAATCTGTGTCTTCCAAGAATGTCCACAGCTGTTGAACCACATTGTCCCGTCAATTTTGAAAGGATTTAGTGCTTGCCATCTTTAGCATGTTTACTCTGAAGACTACTTATTGCACATGTGACTGTTGCATTAGGTGCAACTAACTTTTTCTAGATTGAGGCAAATATGTTTTGTGATTGGACTGTAAAGTACTTAGCTGTGATCTTCACTTCAGCATCTCTCCTAATAGCGAACTCTGGTGCAGAGTGGAAACAGTAGCCAAAACAAGGCCACTAGAGGGGGAATCAGCATGCTTGAGGGATTTGCAGAAATACGAAAGTTGTGTTTTTTTTTAAAAAAACCTGGTGGGCAAAACAGACCAATGAGGACTAAGACTGCTAACTATGTAATGATTACAGTAAATTGGAAAAATAAAACAGAATGTGATGGGCATGACTGGAGGGCAGGATGAGATGGCCTGTTTGGAAAGGTCACTGTGGACATCTAGGACGCAAGGATATGTGGGGGACACAGGGGGGCACACAACAGGTGCCTAGAGAAGGGCAAAGGGAGGAGGCAATGGGCAGTTTTCTGGTAACAATATAATGTTTCTGGTAACATACCATAATATAGTATGGCAGACCCAACTAGGTGCAGTACAGGAAATAGCACATGGTGTTTGGGAGAGAAGAATGTGGTGTGTTTGTGTGTAAAGCAACACTAATATCTACGAAATCCTGCAAAGAGAAAGTGCAATTCTGCTACCAGTATAAACATGCAGGTCAAGTTATTGGCATACACATTTATAATTTGCATTGCTTTGTTTTGACTGCAGAATTATGAGGCACTAAAACTTTGCATAAGTAATAAGGATCTTGGCTCCTTGGCTTGAGCAGACTTTAGTGGGAACATGGTATTTTTTGCCTGCAACAGATATTTATATACAAGGCACGTTAATAAAGAAACCCCCTTGATTTTCCTGATTAGACTGAGTTCTAAAAATAACACTATATGTTCTGATTAATATTGCTAATCAGAAAGAAAGCAGTGGGGGGTAGTATATGAGTGCAACGCCTACTAAACCTGCAATGCAACTGGAAGAAAGAAAAGGAAAACTACTTTATGCTGCAGACCAGGACAGATTTCACATGTGCCACTCAAAGCACTTTTGAACATAGGAACATAGGAACCTGCCCTACACTGTCAGACCACTGGTCCATCCTGCTCAGTAGTCTACAATGATTGGTATTGGCTCTTCAGGTTTCAGGTAAGGGACATTCCCAGACTTACCTGGAGATGCCATTGATTAACCATGGGACCTTCTGCAGATGCTCTTCCACTGAGCACCCCTTCCCCAACTTCTCTCCTACTGTTAATGTGCGCATGTGAAATATCAAAAATACAGAAGAGCAGTGATACATCAGCAGGCAACTACACCAGGTTTCCTCCCACTGCTGAATGAGCAGCGCAAACATCAACAGCAGAGTTGGCAAACACTAGAATGCAAGCAGGAAATGAGGCAAGTCTGTAAGTAGCCTGCTCAGAAAATAAAGCAGCTACTCTGGTCAACCCTGTGTCTCAATAGAGGCCATACATGTAAGAAATAACCCAAGTGTTAAGTAAATTCCAGTCGTATTTCAGTTCAGTTCATTGTATATAAATCAAGAAAGGGTTTCTACTTTTAATGGTAATATTAGCCTAAAGCCAAAATCCTGTGCAGTCAAAACTCAATGGGTTCAATGGCAGGTGGAATTGCCAAAGTTATTTCCCCCGGAACCTTGTTCCCCTTTCTGCCCTGTCTTTTTTGTTTTTTTTGCCACGTGTTGAATGCTGAATGCATAAAAGTTAAATGCATTTAAGTTGCGGGCTAACGGTAAGAGTAATTTGAGGAAACACATCTACGATCATTCTACCCCTCCAGTGGCATGTACTGTAAGCTTCCTTTAGTCCCACCAGGGGAAAAGGTGGGGTACAAATAAATATATTACTAGTAGTACTAATTATTCATGACATAGTTATGTTTAGTAGCAGGGAGATGTACCACTAACTTTACCTGCATTTTGGTCTGGCACAAATACAAGGGCACAAGTTGCTATTGGAAGGACAGTGGCAGTAGGATATTAATAAAGTGCTTCAGGGACACAGGTGGTGCTGTGGTCTAAACCACTGAGCCTCTTGGGCTTGCTGATCGAAGGTTGGCGGTTTGAATCTACACGGCAGGGTGAGCTCCTGTTGCTCCGTCCCAGCTCCTGCCAACCTAGCAGTTTGAAAGCACGCCAGTGCAAGTAGATAAATAGGTACTGCTGTGGCAGGAAGGTAAACACCATTTCTGTGTGCTCTGGTTTCCATCATGGTGTTCCATTGTGCCAGAAGCGGTTTAGTCCTGTTGCCCGCCTGACCTGGAAAGCTGTCTGTGGACAAATGCCGGCTCCCTCAGTCTGAAGCGAGATGAGTGCCACAACCCCATAGTTGCCTTTGACTAGACTTAACCATACAGGGGTCCTTTACCTTTTACTTTACTCTGCTTCAAACAGTTGCACAAGAGTTGACTAGCCATTAGGGATGGGGTTGCCAACACTGCACCTTTATGAATTTCCTACAACCTGAAATGCCTCTGAATGCCTTTTTCCATCATCATGAAAGGTATATAGCACACAGCACAGAGCTGGAAGGTGCCCAGAGGGTCACGTGTCCCACCCACTGCAATGCAGGAACCTCATACATGACAGATGGCCACCCAACTTCTGCTTTAAATCCTCCAAGGAAGGAGAGTGCACAATCTTTCATGAGAGTCTGTTCCACTGTGAATAGCTCTTACTGTCAGAAAGTTCTTCCTGATGTTTAGTTGGAAGCTCCATCTGTCTAATTTGAATCCAGTGGTTTGGGTCCTCCCCTCTGGAGCAGGAGAACAAAACTTACATGCGACAGCCCTGCAGATATTTGAAGATGACTGTCATATCTACTTTCAGTCTCCTCTTTACCGGGATAAATAAACCCAATTCCCTCAGCCATTCCTCATAAGGTTTGGTTTCCAGATTATCTTGGTTACCCTTCTCTGCACATACTCCATCTTGTGAATCTACTTCTTAAATTATGGTGCCCAGAACTGGACACAATAAATTCCAGGTGTGGTTTGACCAAGGCAGAGTAGAGCAGGACTATGACGTCTCTTGATCTAGACACTAGACTTCTGTTGACGCAGCCTAGAAAAGTATATTTGTTTGCTGCTGCATCACACTGTTGACTCAGGTTCAGTGTGTAGTCTACTCAGAACCAGGACATAACCCACTAACTGAAATGTCAAATGTAAATTGCCTTAAGGGGAGCCATGGAGAATGACACACGTTTGAACTGTTAGAATGCGAGACTCATCTCAGGGTCATAGGTTCGAGCCCCCAGGCCTGCATTGCAGGGGTTTGGACTAGATGACCCTCATGTTCCCTTCCAGCTCTACAAATCTTTGATTCTACCGGCACAGCCAAGATTTTGCTGCTTCCTGGCCATGCTTGTGTGTCAAGACAAGCAAGTGTTGAGAAGTACCGGTAGATTAAGTATATATAAGCTGTGCCACAAGATACTCAGTTAATGTAAACCTCTGTTTCACAGGTGTGTTGAAAATTATACAGGAAATCGTTGTGAGGAAATTTTACTACCGAGCATCAAGAGCCATCCAAGAGGTGAACTGTTTGCAGCTGTTTTAGCTTCAGTGGTCGTCCTAAGTGTCCTGGTTGCTGGTGCATTCTTCTTTCTTTGCAGGTAAAATGGTAGTGCTTATGTCAGACTCTAGGGACGCGGGTGGCGCTGTGGGTAAAAGCCTCAGCGCCTAGGACTTGCCGATCGCATGGTCGGCGGTTCGAATTCCCGCGGCGGGGTGCGCTCCCGTTGCTCAGTCCCAGCGCCTGCCAACCTAGCAGTTCGAAAGCACCCTCAGGTGCAAGTAGATAAATAGGGACCGCTTACTGGCGGGAAGGTAAACGGCGTTTCCATATGCGGCTCTGGCTTGCCAGAGTAGCTTCGTCACGCTGGCCACGTGACCCGGAAGTGTCTGCGGACAGCGCTGGCTCCCGGCCTCTAGAGTGAGATGAGCGCACAACCCTAGAGTCTGGCAAGACTGGCCCGTACGGGCAGGGGTACCTTTACCTTTATGTCAGACTCTGCCAGCCCGGCATCTTCTAGATGTCTTGGAGATGGGAGGGGTTGTAGGGCAGAAGACCTAGAAGGCCCTGGGCAAAGGCTGCCTTAGCGATTCACATAACGTCTCTGATTCTGTCCTGACAGAATTTAAATATTCTACATGATATAAATATTCTCCATTTATAATGCATGCAATATTATTCTTTGAGGTTAATAAAAACATTTCACTATGCTTATGGTTTTTCACTTTTTAAAACTTTAAAAAGCATTGCTGAGGCACCTTGTAACAGCAGTTCTTAAAAGGAAATATTTTGTGACACACTCCCATCTCACATTAGAACCAAGTCCCTTTCAGCAATAGAGAACTGAATGCATTATTTAAACTGCCCATTGTCACCTTTAGAAAATATTACAAGTACAGAAGAATAGCTTAATGGGATAAAACATTTCTGCAATGTACATTTATTTATGTAATTTCTGGAACACCTTCCCTTTTAAAAATATCAAAGCAATTTAATATACATATGAAAGCAGCTTCTGTAAAACCAAACCCAACATGCTGTGTATAGGGCAGAAATGATTAGCATAAACTTTATTTCAAATGTCCTGTCTCCACTAAAGAAAGACTTGCAATGACACAGCAAATAATGATGTGGACTTGTAACTTAATAATTAAGATGACTGTGTGATGTGAAAAATGAAAATTAATTAAAAAACTATTCAGATGGCCCATTCAGTGTACACAGCATTTGGTCATGTGCACAGAGGATGCATGACTAAGCCTTGACAGCCCAATCCATGTCTCTATTTCAAACTAACGGCTGATTAAATGCTACCTAACTGTGGAGCAGTCAGTCTGAAAGTTCGATGTAAAAGCCCATTAGGCTGTAATAGCAAAAGCCGCAACCGCTAAATGCAATGTGAACTCACATCCACATTTATTCTTTTTAATTTTCCTAATCACTGTCAGGAAGGGCCAGATTCCACGGTCCAGTTCCATAGAGCATGGCAACAACCTGATTGAAGGGAACAGCAGGGATGCTTGCAACAGTAAGTAATTTTCAAATACAGTAATGGCAAAGGGATACAGTGAATGGTAAAGACTTTCTGCCAAAAGATTCTTGATGAAAATAAAATTCTTGTTTTCCCCCGAGATAACTGAATAAAGCAATCAAAACAAGAAATTATGGAACAGCAACAAGCAAAACAGCTATAGACAAGCAAAAGCAATGTTGGAGAATATGGTAAGAAGACTGACCAGAGAAGACAAGGTGCTGTGTAAATCAGAGGAGAGTTTTCTGTAGGAACCTATCAGGACAAAGTTATATTTAAAAGGGATCCTGGTTACTTCAAAGAAAGAGACATTGTGCACAAATGTCTTATCCGTGAATTCTATGTTTTTGTAAAATGCATTTCAAGCTATTTTCTATTTAATTATTATCTAATATGTACTGATAGGTGACATCTTGTTACCAGAATGACTTAATGGCATCATAGAATTGGGCAGAGTGGTACATATACAATAATCTGAATTTCTATTTAAGACATATCTTGAAGGACCTTTTTTAAAAACAACAACAACAACAACAACATTTAAATGAAAACGAGAAACTTGTGAACGATGAGAGTATTTGGGCAAAATTATCCCTAATATTAGACAAAGGGACTTTCTTTATTCTGTTCTTCCTGTCCTGAAATTTTCTTCAAAGAATCTTACTGTAGACTACTTAACCACTAGTTTAAACCTAAAAGTAGGGAACTGGGAAAATTCCAGCCCCACTGACCCATATTTAAAACAAAATGTTTCCCATCTGCTTATACTCATGAACAGCAGGAATCACCCATATCATTCATGCCCAAATGTAGCTCGCACTCCAGTGGATTCTAATTGTGTTTTCACTGAGAATCTTCTGGGGGATAAAAAGAAGAAAGAATGGCCATCGTTGGCCAATGATGATATGTAGATATAAGAAAAGCAATAAAATGGCAAACTCAAAATGCTGCAGTTTGAAGAGGGGTCATGCCAAACGTTCTGAGCAGAAAAACTATTCATTTCATTAATAACAAAAATAGCAAGTTATTTGCAACAATAAATTAGGAGGCGTTTAAAGCAGTACTAAAGAAGAGTATCATTGATACAGCTTCTAGAATCAGCAAAGAATAAAATGCAGAGCAGAATTGTCTTTCCTTGGATGCACAACAGTTGAATTCAGTGAAGAGTCAGTTGCAAGGAAAATTATGAAAAAGCATACAACCCCTTAAGGGATATCTAATAGTTCTCTTTTGAGGAAAAGTAGCTCACACTTTCCCCCCCAGAACAAACAATAATGTAATGAGATGTGGAATAAAGAACAAAGGATTGCATGTAGGATCAGGTGGAAAAAATGAAAAAAATGCAAATTGCTATCCAAAAGCAAAATATGAAAGCACACCATAAATTAAGCACTGATTCTGCTAAAAAATCCACTGTTTTCTATTTCTAAGAATTCAAAATAGTCACAACTAACTTTGGGCTCATAAGGAAAGCAGATGTGCCAAATGATTTGCTAATTAGATTGTGCATATCTTCATCAGCTAATTTTTACTGCTTCTATGCTCTAGGCTATGTGATTATACTTGTTTTGGAGACTATTTATATTCTTTTAATGATTTTTGTAAATCACCTTGAATAATGGTGGAAAGCCAATAGACTATTTTTTAAAAATAATAATAATAATAATAATCACTTCTAATAAAGCTATTCTCTTATATAATTTTCAGGAATCCATAACACTGTTCCCAGACACTGTGAAAGAAGAAGATATTGCTAATATTTTACAAGACCAAATATATACGCATAAATGTGCATTGCTTATGTTCTTGCAGTTGTCAGACACAGAATGTACAAGGTATGTGAAGCTTATCAGAGACAAGTTAGAACGACCTTTATGCATAGTAGTTAAAAAAGATAAAATACTGTTGAATCATGACAGAATACTGTTAGATAATATTGAGAAGCTATGTTTCATTCATCTGTATTTATCAAAGGCAAAAATAGGTATATGCTTTTACCTAGACATGGAAAATGGTAAGGCCTTTGATTGTGTTGAACAGAACTTTAAATGGGAGGGCAGGGCTAGTAAATATATATATATAATGGACCCTATATATGGACCACAAGTTGTAACTGGCTGAAGACATGCAGAACCTTCTCAATGACTTAGTTACTCCTAAGTTTTGTTTGAACTACTCAGAGGGCTTTAGACCTGCACAAAATACAGTGGTTAAAAATCAAGGTCAGTCCGCAAAACAATTTCATTTGTAAATAAAGTTTATCTTTCTCTCTTTAAATGCCTATTCCAGGTCTCTATTAAAAAGCATTCACAAGTTTAAAATCAGTTCTTTCACAGCTTAGCTGGCTGCAAAGGTCATATTAGGAAACAAAACTGTTTTTGTTGGCCAAAAATAAAACCACATAGCATGATGTAACCTCTGAAAATCATTTGCACTTCCTTAAAAAACAACAACACTGCATGGAGTCTAGAGCTGGCTAATTTTTAAACACTAAATATATTGAGGTATTGTTAACTGCTGCTTTATAGTTCCAGTTGAACTGGAAAACCATGCTTCCAATTTGAGGCATGAAAGAGATGGTTGATTTGGGGAAACAGTTTTCCAGACTAAAATTGATTATATTTTTAACACAGAACTGTAGTTCAGGGATGACAAACCTGTGGCCCTTTAGATGTTACTGGACTACAGTCCAAGTCATAGTATCAAGATAAACACCAAAATAAAAAAATAAAATGATATAAAATCACATATACATAAAAAGCAGTTATAGGGAGTCATTTATCTGTCAGAAAGGAAATCCTTCTGACCTAGAGAGGTCAATATTATATTATATTATATTATATTATATTATATTATATTATATTATATTATATTATATTATTATATTATATTATATTATATTATTATATACTAATGCTTGGCGCTAGTCATTATATGTCGTATTTTGATTGCTGCTGCACAAAATTCGGCTACCTTGTATAACAGGATTTTTTATTAAGGAGCAACAGAGTGGCAAAAAAATGATCAGAGCATCCAGCGTATTTCTGGAGTATTGGCAGAATAAGGTCAGAGCCTAAATCTCTGTAGAACAATGAAGAAGCCTGTGTTATACAGTTTCAATTTGGCCAGAGTCACAGGGGCAGCATCTCTCCAGGTACGAGATCTTTCTGTAGCGTTCTCCAAGAGCAGCAGAAGGGAGAGTTCAGCATTGAGCCAGGGATAAGGTCCTACGATGTGTAGGCAGTTCCAGACTGCTTAGATATGCCATAGGAGCTGAAAGATACCTGCTGTAATCACTGACAATAAAGGAAGGGGACCTGCCCATACCTGTCAGGCATTCTATATTGATGGATCATTACATAGGGTGGTAGTAGAGATAATGGACTCTTTCGAGGGCTCCTTAGGCTGAGAGTCGTTAGGCATATTGTAGGAGTTATGATGTCTGCAGATATCTTCAGCAGGCTAGTTTTTCAATAATCTGTTGTTGCTCTTGTGTTGGCAAATCTTTAAAGAGCCTTTCAAATGCTCCTCCAATACATAGTTGTCCTTGGTTGGATCCTCTGGTTCTGCCAACTGATCAAATCCTCTTGAATGGATTTGCTTAAGCTCTTTTGTGTTCTTTTCATTAGGGTCCTGTTATAATTATGGTGGCTGGCTGCTTTAAAGTTAGTTATTAGTGGTGATAAAATCAGGTTGTTAAAAACGTACTGGGAAAATTCCTTTGGCAGTCAACATAGACTTGGTGCGATGTAGCAGTGAGGGAATTTTGAGGCTTCTAAAGTAAGACTTTCTGAGCTTAATTGGAGTAGTTCAGAGGCTACACATTGATTAAGTCTATGTAACCCTAATAAAATCCTCCAATGCTTCTTGGCCAGTCAAATTGTATGAAAGGATGGAACCCAGCCTTTGTTGCTGCCTATTGCAAGACTAAGCTTATTCAGTTGTAACACTAAGTGATGTTGTTCTTTCATTCCACTAACAAGCTTCTGGTTTATATTATCTCGTGATTTGGAACACGTGTCCTGAATCATATATTTAGCTCAAAGTGAGTTAGATAGAGAAGGTTCCTTTGGTTGATTTCTTTTCTGAGTGTCTCTGTGACCTCACTGATTAAAATGTCCATTTTAGAAAGCAATCAGCTAAGCGTTTTACAAATAGAATCAATTGTTTTAGCTGTCAACAGGATCAGATCAGCCAGGTTCTTTTTAGTTGTTTATATATTTGGGACAGCCTCACCGATATATAATGCCACCTATGCAGAAGTTTTAGCAAAGCTTCCTTTCTTTTTGCAGAAACTGATTTCAACGGTCTCCCAGACCACAAAGCCATCCATTTTTAATTTGGTATTTGCACATCTAGGTCCATTTCCCACGGCATTTTTGTGTATAATAGATTGCCATATTCTAGTGTTATTAGAGCTTCATAAATTGAGGACGCTCTGCCCCTAGAGAGTGGAGAGAAGTTAACAAAGATGTGCTCTATTGCTGTTAGTTTTTTGTTTGCTTGAGTGGAAATGTCTGGGTTTAACAGGAATCTTAACAGCTGGTTGAAGTGGTACCATGGCCATTTAAGGTTTGGTATGGCTGCAATGAATTGTTCTTTTTGTAGGGGGGTACCGTTCTTAGTCATGCTGGCCACATGACCCAGAAGCTGTACGCCAGCTCCCTTGGCCAGTAAAGCGAGATGAGCGCTGCAACCCAAGAGTCGTCTGCGACTGGACCTTTACCTTTACCTTTACTGTTTGCATAGAAATCTTTTAATCTATAAAGGCCCACCTGTTCCCAACCGTTCCAATCTAAGCATTGCCCTGCTTCTTTAAAAGATAGGTGAAAGCTAAGGGGAGATATTGGGGAACCCAGTTTTTAAAATTTTGCTTTCCACACATTTAGAGTGGTGCGGGAAAAAGGGTTCACAATAGTATGGGTTTTAGTGAGTGAGGAGGGTAGATAGGGATATGCTCTATATACAGGATCTACCCCTGGTTTACCTTCTTGCCTGTGGATCAGTGACATCAAATGCTTTACTTGGAAGGTGCTGTAATAAGTTTGGAGATGCGGGATTCCAATCCCACCATTTTGGACACTTCCATATATAATTCTAGAGCCTAGTCATGCTTTCTTCCCTTCATGAATAAACTTGTTTGTTGAGCACTGCCAAATTTTAAATTGTATGGGTGTAATCATAATTGGCAACACTTGAAAGAGAAACAAAAATTTCGGTAGGAATAGCCATCTTAACTGCAGCTATGCGTCCTGACCATGATAAATGTAGATCTTTCCAAGACTCAAGATTTTGTCATACCTGTAGGAATACTGGTGTGAAGTTTGCTTTCTTTCGAGCGGATAGATTTTTAGTTATCTGCACTCCCAAATATTTTACTACCTTGTAGCAGGTTTTAAAACCTGTTTGGTTTAGAATGTTTAATTAGACAGGTGGACGAATGCCTATCTACATTATTTCTGATTTCATTGATTTTGAATCTGGCCACTTTACCACAATTGCTTAGTTCTTTCATTAATACAGGTGTTGCAGCTTTTGGGTTAGAGAGCATTATTACTATATCATCTGCAAAAAGGCTTATTTTATGCATTTTTTAAAATTTCAACTCCTTTTATCTCCAAATTGTTTCTAATGGAGAGGGCTAGTGGTTCAATTGAGAGGGCAAACAAGAGGGGGTGACAGAGGGCATCCCTGCCACACCCCTCTTGCAACAGAGAAAGCTTTAGAGTCTATGCCATTTACCCCGAGTGTATGAGTTTTTGTACAGTCTCATGATAGAATTCATAAAATGTTCATTTTTGACAACAACCCTTCTAGGAACTACCATATCTAATGATATGACGGCTAGTGGTAAATTTTTCCTTTTGCTATGATGGATAACATTTAGTAGCTGGTGAATTGGGTCACAGATCTGTCTCTGGGGTATGAACCCAACTTGGTCCATGGTGATGTAGGAAGAAATAAACGTGTTGAGCCTTGCAGTAAAGATTGCTGTAAAGATTTTAGCATCCTGATTTAAAAGGATTATTGGTCTATATGATTCTACTGACGCAGGATTTTTCCTGGCTTAGGTATGGTTGTCATTCAATAGAGAGGTTAATCTGTCCAGTTGGGGATCTTGTACAAGATTTAAATCCCCTTCTAATAGCACCTTGCCTCCCTGGAATCCAGATAGTTCTAGCATAGCAAGTCGGAGAAATTGTAAATGTCCTTTGTTCAGAGAGTAAAGTGAGGCTATAGTTAGTGTGATGCCATTATTTGGCCTCTGACAAATACTTAGTGGCCCCTCTCGTCTGTCAAAGTTCTCTTGAGGGTAAAATTCAGACTGTTAGAAATCAGCAGTTACCCCTCTTCCTTTTGATGAGCCAGGAGATGAGATTTGGACATCAAAGCCTTTGAGATGAAAAATTCTATCCATTTGCTTCTTACAGTGGGTTTCCTGTAGGCATATTATTTTAGGTTTTTCCCATTTGAGCATTAGATTGACTCTTTGTCGTTTCACCGGTGAGTTGAGACCGTTGACATTTAGGGTGAGTATTTTTATAGTTTCCAGATCAACCATTGGGCCAGGTTAGAGTATGTTGGCTAGGAAATTGTACAAACATTTTAACGGATGGTTTTGATAGGTGGCAAAATGTAGGTCAGAGTAATAGCGTGTATAGGATAAAATTCAAGCTTCACTATGTAATCCAATGATAAAACACAAAGATCTTGCAAAGTTCTGCTAGAATGGTCATGAGAAGAGGTAGTCTCTCCTCTCAATGTTTAACACCATTCATTTTCTGATAGCAAATATAAGGGGTCACTGAAGTAAAAAACTTAATCAATTTAACAGTTCTCTAAATTTCCCAGTGCCAGGTTGCTTCATTTGCTTTGGGCACCTCCATGTGTCTCAATGCTTCCTTGTTATGCTGACAGCTAATAATGTACATTAGTGGTTATTAGTTCCCTATTGCTGTTTAAGAGAATTGGTATTCTGCTGACCACTGCTCTGGTGTCCTTTTCCAGTTCCCAGGACCCGGTGGGTTTCAGTATGCTGAAAGTGGCACTTTTAAGAAGTTTTTACTTGATGTCACTGCTGCTGCCAACCTAGTCCTATCTCATCATCCGATGAGTCTGAGTTACAGGTGCTGGTTTTGGGGTCGCTTGGTACAGACAGCTTTAGCATGCTCTGGAGTAGTCTTGCCTCCTTGAGTGCTGATGCTTCATGCTGTACCCCATCCAGCAGCACTATCAGATGGAATGGGAAGCCCCATCTCTTGTGGATTCCAGCATTTTGAAGCATTTCTGTATATGGTTTAAAGGAACGTCTGCAATTTAAGGTTGCCAGACACAAATCTTACATAATAGAGATATTCTGGCCTTCCCATGCCAGACTGTCAAGTATACGAAGTCCCTTTAAAATGGCCTGCTTAGTGGAAAGGAGGAAAAACCTTTCAATAACAATGTCTCTGGGCCTGTGGTTGAGTTTGCAAGCACTGGCCTGCTCTGTATGCAAACTCTAGATCGGAGGCCTTAAGTTTTAAGATTAGGGAAGATAAGAGAGTAAATCTTTGCCTTCCAGAAATTCTGGTAGGCCTCTCACTTACAGATGGAAGCGACAAGAATGTCTGCTTCATACAAAGCTGTGTTTCTCTAGTTGTGGCCACCAGTTTCTTGATTTTCGCCTCCTGATTCCTAACTTTAGAGCTTCATTTGCAGTCTTTGAGGCCTCAGAGATCCGGGCTTCTGTTTTGTTGAGTCTTTTCTCACTTGGGAGTCAAAGCTGCTTTTAGTTCTAATGCTAAATCTTCCCTGAGATCCTGTCTCAGCTTTCCCAGGTGGGTAGTGAGCTCAGGGAGAAGGAAACTGGCAAATGCTTCGTCTTGAGTTTTGCAGTCTTAGCTGCCACGCTTGAGCCTAGTTCTTCTTCCTGCTGCTCAGAAGTTTGCGGTTGATTTCCTGATACATGGCTTTTGTGACTGTTGTGGTGTTAAATGAGATCCCTGGAGCATAATCTGTAGAGATCTTGTTTCACAGAGTCAATTTTTAAGGTTTTCAGCTTAAATGGGAGGTTTGATAGTGCACAGGGTGTTAAGAGTAAGAGAGTTAGGCAGCCATCTTGCTTGATGACATCACACTGTTAAATTAAACCCTCCTGAACTTTTATCAGCATAAGCAGCTGGGGTATGTTTTGTCTGCAATAACCTTTCAACAGCTAAGGTCAGAGGAGCCTTCACTACAGGTATATCTAAGTATGAATATAAACTGTCCCTCTAATTTTATCCTGCTGGTTGTCCACAATTCAGATAGTTAACTTAAATAGATGGCATTTTTAGGGAGGTTTCCTCACTGCCGCTGCTTTGTTGCTGCCATCTTGCTCCGCAAACAAAGATATAAACTACAAGTCCCATCATCCCTAACCATTTGCTAAGACTGAGGCTGATGGGAGTTGAGGGGTTGCACAGATGGCAGATGAAAAGGTTACCAATGGTTGACCAAAATAAGATTGACATCTGCTTTTATTTCTAGCAGGTTACTTAAGACTTTTATTAGTTGTGTTACCCAGAAGGAATTCACCAACACTTCTCTCACCAGTACCATCTGCACGCCAGTAAAAGCTGTACCTGTCAAAATGTTATGCAGACAGCTTTTCCAGAGGAAAAAGAAAAAGAATAATCTAGAGATCCAGATTTGCTTGTTAGAGAGCTAAATAATATGTTTTCCATCCTGGTAAAAGAAATGTGCTTCTTCTTCTACAGCTTAGAGAATATTTCTTATATACTTTTCCCCTAGCCTTAAAGATTAAGATTTTAAAAAGCCTAGAGACAGTACAGTTATATCACATTTCTTATTGTTTGGCAAACTTTTAAAAATAATATTGTTGTTTTTAAATGTGGGAGTTGAGCTTTCAAATGCAGAAAGGACAGTGTTGAGCTGAAGAGAGCCTTATCTCTCTAATTAAAAGCAACAAATTAAAGGAAGCTATTGAGGTTAAGTGAATTAGCTTCTTGTGACTTCAAAAGCGGAGTGGCTAATACCACCTTGAATACTGATTCATTGTGACATAAATTTTATGGGCTACATGTTATTGGCTAGCATAATATGCATTTTAAAATATATATATGGATGATTGTGAAATACAAAAGGTAACAGGTGGTATGCAGCATCCAAATGTCTCCAAGATCACACCTGATTTTTGAACCTATATTGTAGTAGGTTCTGACCTACAAGAGGTTTTGCCACAATAACCCTGTTAGTCTTTAAGAGGACCACAAGCTCATTTGCTATTTTGGGTGCAAATGAGCAAGATTGCAACTGTTTTCATAGCCTATAGTTGATGGGAAAGGGTCCTGCAGAAATGACCCAGAGATAGGAAGCCCATGCAGAGGGTTCCCCAAATATGCTGTTTATCTTCCGGTGACACTGGCACTCCTGAGTAGCTCAGTGAATCAGAGCTAGCTGAACACTTCCAGTAAAGATTGCGGGCTCTTGCTTTCATGTTTTTGCTTCACCTTGTCCCCCACACCGAGATATTCCTTTCATACTGTTCCAAGGAAGCATGTCATCTGTAAGAAGTGGAATTAGTTTTGTAAATCCAAAAGTAAGGATATGGAAAACTGTCGTTAGTGCCTTATCAACCCCATTTATTCATTTCCATCTGTTTGTGGGTATCTTTATATAAAGAGCATTGTCTTACATTTCAAACACATCCACTCACGAGGATTTGCCACACAGCAAAGTGATTTATGTGATCATGTGTCCAACAACAGCTTAACCTCCTGCCAAAAGCAGCTTGAGAGGTAGTGTTGCAAACAAGCCAAGGGCAGCATAAGGTTTCATTTCCAACACACCACTAAGACTGGGTGGATTGGTTTGAAGGGTCTTCCTAACCACTTTTTCTAGCTCGAGAATTGTCCTGTTATTCATATGTGATGGCCCAGCCTTCTGCAAAGTAGTGTTGCTGTCACAGTAGAAAATTGTAATGTAATGTTGCTGTAAAACAGAGGCATAGCAACAGCGTTTTTTAAAAACATAACTGAAAGTTCGTTTAATGCTTAACTTGATTGTTGTGTCAAAATCTGGTCCATAAACTGCATGCAGAAATGCTAATTATGTTACTTCTAAAGATATGAGTTCACTTAACTCTGACCTAAATAATTTGCAAATTTAGAAATAAATTCTTTGGGTTGTATTCAACATTTAGTCAGATCACATCCAATGAACTTAGTAGCCATCATTTAGATAGATTTCAGTGGGTCTACTATCAGCAAAAAGTGAGTTGACTAGAACCCTTTACCAGAGATCTGACAAATCTGAAATTTTAAAAAACCCTTTCTTCCTCATCAAATTTAATTTAATATTATGCCACCTAGACACCCTGAGTCAATGGTACAGTGATTACAATTGTTTCAGGATCCACTTCTGTTGGAAGTGTGTACAGTGTTTCAGATTTTGTTTTGTTTTTACATTGCTGGAATTAAAACAGCATCGTTTCTCTGGTGCACATTTACAACTAAAGGTTTAAGCTTGATTTGCTTTGGCTGAACCCAGATGGATAATGGTCATTACAGTGGTGTAACCATGGAGCAAGTCATCCTTTGTGTCATTATACTCTCGGAGTATAAAATTCCCGGTCACAATTCGATCACATCCTATCTCCCCATGTCCAAAAAAGCCAAAGAGGGGAATGTTAGGAAAGAACTTCCTAAAAGCATCAGCCTCAAGATTCTGTTTGGTTTTATAATGTTGATATCCCCTGCCAACACATGCGAACATAAAACCAAGGCTATTGTGTTCAGGAATGTTGGTGGCTTTGAGGCGCTGCACTGCTGCTTCTGCTGTCCTCTCATCAATTACATCCTGATCTAACAGAACAGTCGCACTCTGGATCTGCGGTCCACTGAAAGCCAAGCCAACAACACCACAAGAATCAGCAGCCTGAGTGTTACTGAAAGAGAAGAGAAACAAAACACCATATTACAAAGGGGGGTTGTCAGAATGGAACAGCATCACCAAGACTCTATACAATACAAAACAAGAAAAACAATGTGAATATTATTATTATACATAAATACTAGGCACTCCACTGTTTCTCTCGGCATGTTCCTGTCCACGTCCCCAAAGTCTTGTTTGAAGGCTGTGAACATTTATGAATCCAGAAAATTTTAACTTCCCAAACAAGCAAATTGTTTTCCAACAGGACCTACTTTGTTATTCTGTTTGTTTATGTGTGCTTCCATTGGGAATATAATTGTAGTATAACATAAAAATACTTATAATACATAACACAACAGTGTTGTAGCTTTTCTTTACTGAATGCCTTCCTGGCTAAATATATCTATATACCCCCCCCAGTGAATCTAAGTCTGTTACTGAGGGATCCATAATTTGTGTGCTTGACTTTACTATTTGGAAGACATTGCTAGGAATTTACAATATAAATACACAAAAATATTTAACAAACAAAAACCCTTTACCAGCCCCCCCCCATTTAAAAGGCCATAGCTTGTTTAACTAGCCAAGGGCCTCATATAAGAGAAAGGTTTTGCCTGGTGCCAGGTGAGCCTCCCTTGGGAGAGCATCCCACAAGCAGGAGCCACCCTAGAAATGGCCACCATTCTTGTAATGCCACCCTTCAGATCTCCTGTGGGAGTGGCACACAAAGAAGGACCTCAGATGATGATCACAGGGTCTTGGAGTTTGGAAGAATGGAATCTGTACCTTTCCCAACATGCTAGCAACTGGTATCTTAAAATCAGCTCAGACAGATTCATAACCCATGTAGGGCTTCCTTCTATACTTGCTAGCAACTAGATCAACAGATAGCTTATCTTTTGAGGATGTTGACCTACAAGCTCCAAATGGGAGCTAGCCAAGCTAAAATGTTGACAAACAAAAGATATTTGCTCCTGAAAGACTACTATTTTTCAAGGGGAAAGAAATCACAGGTGCTGTAACAGGTAGCTAAACACCCTTTGCTGAAAAGCTACATTATTAACCTTTAAATGGACAGAGTGCAGTTCAACCAATGGCTGCTGTCCAAAAGATGAAAATTCCCCTTACCAAACTAAAGAACTTGCAAAATGCTTTAGAAAAGCAGCACAATGGTTATCTAGCCCGCGCTGTATAAACTTATAAAGTTCTGAAGAGGTTCAGAACTTCGGCCCAGTATACCAGAAGAAACGTCTCCATCCCCATCGTTCTGCCCGGACACTGAGGTCCAGCTCCGAGGGCCTTCTGGTGGTTCCCTCCCTGCAAGAAGTGAGGTTACAGGGAACCAGGCAGAGGGCCTTCTTGGTAGTGGCGCCTGCCCTGTGGAACACCCTCCCATCAGATATCAAGGAAATAAACAACTACAGTATCTGACTTTCAGAAGATATCTGAAGGCAGCCCTGTTTAAGGAAGTTTTTAATGTTTGACATTTTATGTTTTTAATATTCTGTTGGGAGCAGCTCAGAGTGGCTGGGGAAACCCAGCCAGATTATCATCATCATCATCATCATCATCATCATCATCATCACCACACCTGCTGTACACTATTGAAGATTTTGTTCTGTGCTGATTTATAGAATGTCATTTTGGGTGGGAGGCATGCCAGGAATACTGCGAACCTACTGGCTGCCAACCCAAATAAATAATACGAGTAAATTACTTCATTATACCAACTGCAAGTTAACATTAAGGCATCAGCTATCCTGCAAGATTCCCCCAGATCTTGAATTAAAAAGTACTGTATCCTCAGACTAGACTTCAAATGGACTGTAAGAGAGAGGTAAGTGGTGAAAGTTCTGCCTCCCTTTGGCTAATTTGCTACGAAGATGTGATTTGACCATAATTCACCTGACATGATGCCTGTTCCAGTTGTACTGTACACTGAGTAAACACCATATAATAATACAGACTGATTTGAGAGGGACACTTCATTCTGACAACTGCTAGAACACCACTGGATTGTAAGCTGTTTATATTCGTCCCTACACTATCAGACTTTCAGAAGCCCATGCATTTGCCATGGATTCATTGGGAAAGGGAGAGGATGTACATGGCTTGATATGCCATGCACAAATTAAGATTGCCAAGATTTCAAATGCAAGCCAAAAAACCACAGCAAGCTCATCTAGGAAGCTCACAGCACCTGCACTGGTGGCCCCTGTTCAGCTCAGCAACATTCTTCAGGGAAGGCTGGACTGATTAGTAACCAATCAGGAAAGCTAGGTCCAGGATGCACTTCTGATTAGCAGCCAAACAACCACATGTTGTTTAGCACCCTCTCCTGAATAATTTTCACCAAACAGAAAAGAACGAATCCAACACACAGCTGATCTCCCGCACACTCCCAAGCACAATCATGGATAGGCTAGCGGCTAAAGCGATCTGCTGTGTTTGGAGCTGTGCCTTCCAAGCTTCAAATATCAAAGCAGATACAGTTACCAGCCTCAAAAAAAAAGGTTTCATTTGCAACGGCCATGACATAGCTTTTATAAATAAATGCCGCAATCAGTGTTTTAGCAAAAATGAAGAGAAATCTGTAATCTAGCCACGTTTCTTCCAGGCTCAGCTGCTTCAGTTCTATGTTAAGTACAGCTATTAATTCAACAGAGGATTCCGGAATCTTAGGAGTTCCTTGAAACGTTAGAACCAGTGATGTTTTCTATGCCTTCAAAAGGTAGTGATCCAACTCCAATAACCACGATCCAATACCCAGATAATCTATTTTCCAAGACAATGAAAAACAATGAATCCATTGTGCCCTGTTACATACCAAACCAATTATTATTTGAGACAGATGTGGCTGTTAGGGAGATCACAAAGTTCTAAGGGAAAAATAAGATAGCAGTTTTATTCCCTCTTCTAACCCAATGAAATTGACAGGAGAATGAGAACAGATCGAACAAAGCACATGGGATAATGGAACTTCTAGGTTTGGTGGCTATATGCCACTGAATGCTTGTTGCAGAGGAGATAACAGAAGAGAGATACTGCTTTCATGTCTGCCAGAAGGTCTCTCATATCATCTGACTGACCACTATGCAATACACAGGATGTTGGACCTTTGTTCTGATTCATCATGGCTTTTATTAAGCAATCATCACCACCTCTAGCCTCAAGAGATTTCAGCAGACCTTGAGAGTCAGAAACTTGTTTTTAAATAAACAGAAGCCGAGATTTTCAGAAATGGGTGGAAACTAAATTAACTATCTGGTACACAAGAGATCATTAGGCAATACAGGGTTCTAGTGGACACCTGAGGGCAGAGAGATCCCCCACTTTTCCAAAGATACCCACTTCTCAGAAGTTAGAGATGTAAAGCTCTCCACATGTCCGCCAGCCAAGATGATGCTTTTTTCATTCAAGCGATTGACTATTTGGTGTAGAAACCGGGTTCCTCCTGACTTCCATGTGTTGTACCCAAACAAAAGAACCACTCTGAGATCGGGATTATTCTTCAGGCCTGGTTACAGAAAGAGAAGAGGGAAAGGATTAACCTCTGTAATGTTGTCTTTTGGCAGGAACAACAACAGGCAAGACAGTCTTGCATCTGGACTGGATGAACTGCATCAGTTTTGTTTTCTGTGCTACTTCTCCCTAAAGGCTCAAAGAGCAGAATGCATATCATAAAGGCAGAGGCTCTATAAAGATTTGTTGTTATCATTAAGGCCCTCTAGCTGTTTATGACCTCCTCTTCAGCATATAATCCTGAAGGTTTCGTGCAGCCCCTAATTGTATGTTGTGTTTTGTTTTGCTCTGCACATGGTGATTTTAACCAGTAGCTAGCATTTTACGTGTCAGAATGCACCAACCCCATAGTGCAGGAAGTAACCAACTTCCTTTGAGGTCAGGTAAACAACACACCCAGCATATCTAAGTTACGTTCCCCAAAGTTAAAAAGGCCTATAAAAACAAGTTGGACTTGTTACTCTTCACAAGGGAGATGCTCCAACTTGGACAACAGATCTATTAGATGCTTTAGGTTAAACTGCATGTCCACTGGAGGAAAGATTCTTCCTCTTTTTTCCCCTTTTTTTACTGTGGCTGGTGGGGAAGATGAGGACTGTGGAGAACATTTTTAACAAAACATCTCCATGCTATTATTCCTGAGGGGTTAAAGAATATCCTTTTCCAGGATAATCAGGACAACACAGAATATTTCAAAAACTCCCATGAGAAAAATACCATGGGGAAAAGAGGCTTGGGAAACAATGCAAATTTGCTTCTTCTCGAGAACTGGTTACAAAACATTTATATAAGGGTAATCAGACACTTCTAAGGCTTGCATAGGACACAGGGAAGGTCACCAAAATAACCTAGAATGAGGCCGCTGAGAAAGCATCCACTGCATAATTCAATCCAAGCCTATTTCCCCAATCCTGGATACTTTATATCTAAAACACCCTTGACAAGGGCCTGTTTCCTTTAGAAACACTGAAGGAGGAAGGCGGTTTATTTGGCTGCTGACCTTCACATTTAAAAAGTGTTCTCCCTGGTGTTTTGCCAGAACCCTCCTCCCTTAAGCATAAAACTATGATGCCTCTTCTTCTATCACTTGGCAGTACAGAAAGTACCTGCCCCTTCACTCATTTCAAAGAGGCTTTTAAATATTTGAAAATGATGTGTATGCATTGTAGTCACAAGCTTCCTTTCCTTTGTCTAATATAAAGTCAGTTCATTCACCTTTTGCTCATGGTGCTTGTCTCTGTGCCTGCATAATGCATACAATGGCCCCAATTCTAGCTCTCCAAAGATACTTGCATGGCACACACACATCCAAACACTTTTTGTTGCATTCACACTATATGCACTTAGGTGTATATCTAATATTCTCTTTCAATGTACACTTAAAAACATTTATCACCCTCATAGTTCTCTCCTGAATCCATACTCAGTCAATAGCTTAAATTGCAAATTTGGCTGCTAAGCTTTAATATTTTACTACTACAGTGTTTTAGTCATTAGGTACCTGCTTCAGCAAATTGGCTTTCATCAAAGACCCTGGTCTTCAAGTCTTTACAAAAGTGGAAGGTTTGAATCTTCACCCCATCAATCTTGGGGAACAATATTGCAAAGCCAGCTTCACCATCTTCAACTTCCAGAGGCCGATTGCTGCGAGACCCCATTGGAGTAACTAAGGAGGAGAGTTCAAAAGCAGGTGAATCTTGACATCTGTCTGCTGCTGCTTCCCCACCCCCATGTCATGTAGTTTCACAAGAATTTTTTAAAAAATGGTCCCATTTTGAAAGCAATATGACCCCAAAGCACTGTCAGCTAAACCAAGAAGGCTCTTACTAATCTCTGACACATCCTGCAGGAAGTTTTTAAAAAACCCACACGTGACTTTAAAATCCACAGGCAAGAGGCTCACAGTGCAGTTGTTAAGAGCACATTCCTAGTAGGCAGAAGGTCCCAGGCTTACTCTCTGGTTAAACAGGATTTCAGACAGCTAGGAATGATTTGGGGTATGAGAGTTCCTAGGTTCATTTCCCAGGCAAACCTATGATCAGAAGGGAAGTGGGGTGGGGGTGTCACACCTCTGGGCAAGAGCAGGTGCTTTGAGTATAAAGAGGCTTGTTCCCTGACATATCTCAGCCAGGCTGCGAAACATTCATGCCTGAAACTGGAGAGAAGGCCAGTCAATGTAGACAGTACAGGCAACCCCCAATTTGTGCGGGGGTAGTGTACCTGGCCCCCACGCACGGCAGCAGAGAACACATAAGCCCGCCTTACTCCATTCCACCCTCTTCCAGGTCCAAAAAGACTGCAGATCGGTGGTCACACGTCACCTGAATGTGGGCAAAATGGTTGCCGTCTGTGGCAACCTGTGGACCAATGGTCTGGCTTGGTATAAATGCAGCTGGGGGGGGGCATGCACTCATGGGGCCCATCAACTAGTGTGAACTGTTTCTTACTTTGTGAAGGGTCGGAATATGCCCCTCCCTCATTTACTTTTACAGAACACCATTGTATTTTGGGCCAGTGGAAGGAGTGGTTTGCAAGTGTGCTAACATTGGGCAAGGTGCAGACAGCTGAATGCATTACTGCTGTTTCTTACCTACAACTCCAGGTGTCACTAGACCAAGGACTTGGCATCGTCTGGGCAATAGTTTTTCTAAGGCAGTGGCTGTTTCTTTGCTATTTCTTCTTCGTGCTACAAGAAAAAACAATTTGCACAAGTTCACACTGAATCAGCAGTACAGCTGGAAAAAACTGCCAGGTCTCCGTGATATTTTTAATTAGCTGCTTTAGCATGCATGGGTACTCCCCAGGTATGTTTAACCACTTGGCAATCTGTCCACATTTTTTCTAGGAGTGTGAACATTAAGGTGTTGGTTCAGGCTTCTGATAGGGCCAGAATTATAAGTGGCCAATATAGGGATGTATCATGCCATCCAGTATAACCATATCTCTACAAATGTCTGAAGAAAGCAGGGAAATAACTTGCTACTTTCAAAGCCTTCCTGTGACCTTGGAGGCTTCTCTGCTCTGCTCCTGAGCGAGGAAAAGAGCACAAGGAGCCTCACTTTCTGCTGGGCCAGCAAAGGGCTTGAAAAGCACCAATGTGTCTTGTTTTGCAAGCCTCTCCGCAGCTTGATCTCTATCAGTGTAAAACTGTACCCCATCTCCACTGATCAGGGCCAGGACTTGTTGCAACAATGATCCTGGGTCTTGGAGCTCAGGCTTTACCTCTTCCCACAGCATTGGTGGAGACTAAACCTTCTGGCTGGCTGCCAAGGCTATTCAATGCTATTTAAACACAGTACTTCATCCACTGGATAAAACCAGATCCCTCACACAAATGCTTCCATGTGTAAATGTATAAAATCAGAAAGGATGCGGAGCAAAGCTTCTTCAAGGCAGAAGGAAACCCAACATAGATGCTCACCTTTCTTCTGCCTGTGGCTTGGACACTCTTCGTGTTCACTGAAAGTCTCTGCATCTGCGATATACAATACTGTCTGGGGCAGCACCTGAACCTTCTGTAAAGTAAAAGCTGAGTATAAGAAAACAGAAACTGGAGAGGTGAATGAACAGGAACTTCTCTTTCAAAGGAAGAACAAGCATAGCAGGAAATGGGGGGGGGACTATTTAAACCCCCTAACATATATCTTGTCTCTTTTTAAAGTTATAGACATCCCAATACAAAGCATGCTTGGTTTCGAGCATAAAGAATCATTTTACTTTTTGAGAGCTCCAGGGCCAGCCCTATCATTAGGTGAAGTGACTTGGCTACCTCAAGCAGCTGATTTGGAGTACCGTGAAATAGTTAGTATTTAATTTATTATTGTGCTTTTTTACTGCTGAAAGGAGAGGGGAAAGAGAAGTGCTTGAGAGATTTTATGCCTCAGGTGCCAAATAACGTGACATACTTTGAGTACTGCATGTATTGAAAATGAGGGGGGTGGGGCATTGCACCATTACCTGCTCTGCCGCAGGCAGCAAAATGTACTGGGCTGGCCCAGAAGAGTCTGAAAGTGTGTCTGTTACTATATGTATTTACACCATCATTCACACACATCCTTTACAAAATATGATTCTTCAGGGCCAAAGTTTTCAACACGCATCTAAAACATTATTGTTAGGGTGACTATCTAATGTCAAGAAGCAGTTCTGGATACATTCTGCATACGAAGCAGTTTTAAGTTCTCTCTGTTTTATGTTCTACCACTCTATATGGTAATCTAGGTCAACACATTTTTTTCTATTAAAAAATTGCATACATAAAAGACTATACAGTGGTACCTTGGTTCTCAAACGTAATTTGTTCCAGAAGTCCATTCGACTTCCAAAACATTCGCAAACCAAGGCTCCGCTTCTGACTGGCACAGCTCCCCGGAAACAAGCCAACAGCCGGACGGTTGGCTTCCAAAAAACGTTCAAAAACCAGAACACTTACTTCCAGGTTTTTGGCGTTCTGGAGCCGAAATGTTCTAGTACCAAGGCATTCAAGAACCAAGGTTCCACTGTAAACCCTTATAGTTTAGGACTGTAATCCTAAAGACACTTGCCTATTGCAACTCCCACTGAGCTTAGCTGGACTTACTTCTGAATAGATACGTTCAGGAAAACACTATATCACATACAGATAAATGCATGGTTGCTCAGAAGCAAGTTCCAGAGTGTTCAACTGGCTTACTCAAAGGTATATGTGCAGAGAATTTGAGCTGAGAACCCCATGTCAGTATCAAACACCTCCTTAAACCTAAAGACCAGCTGATACTATAGGACAGGACAAGCATTTAAGAACTCAGCTTCTCCAAATCTGACAATCAACCAAGTAGCAAGTTGCAATAGGTTACAAGTATGGTAAGCACTGTCACACCTAAAGCAAAATACATAGCAATGCTACAGAATCAACAGGGAAGCACCAATTGGATTTTAGGAGGTTATACATCAAGAGGAGCAGAGGAGCAGTACTTGTGAGATTACCAATTGTGAATCATAGAATCGTAGAGCTGGAAGGGACCTCAAGGGTCATCTAGTCCAACCCCCTGCAAATGCAGGAATCTCAACCAAGGATCCAAGATCCACATAGTATATATATAAAGATCCAAGTATATAACTGTTCAAAGATGTTCCATTCACTTACCTCAAGCTCCTCTGCCAACACCTGAACCAGAGCATGACTGCTTGAAGGCCCTGGTTCCACTGTGGAGACCCAGACAACACTCTGCTGGGCTCTCAGGATTCTGCGGGAACACTCTCTCCATAAGCGGCACACACTAAAAACAAGAACCCAGAATCAGCATCACTACAGACAGGAAGATAGCGATTTGGAGGATTCAAGGAATATGTCACCCTTGCAATAGCCCAATAAGTGAGGGCAGCATTTCCCCCCAGAAGGCAGGTGGGGGCGGAGGGAGCTAATAAAGACTCCTTATGTTGGTGGTTGAGCTTCCCCACTGCAGCTCACTGTTTCAGCCACTACCAGCTCTGTACATGCCCTGCAAGAGCAGCTGACTCCTTATCTGGAAATGTCTATCATGCATCTTCAGTGGTAGCAAACACTTCTTGCATCTTCTAAAAATGAACCACTTTGAAAGCCCAGCTGTCTCAATCTCAGAATTTTTTTAACAGGTTCCTTCACAGGAGTCTATGGCTTCATGCAGTTCACATGGAAAACTGCTAAAATATTACGTAGCCCCAGTTACCAACTCCACTGGCAATCTGACATTCCTTTTCCTCCTAGTCACACCTGCATTTCTAAGAGAGAAGTTCAGCATCTGTCTTGGAATTTGATCAAGCTTCACCTGTCACTGCCTAGAAAACAAGAGAAGGGCCAAAGCATCTCTTATGTCAGCCATGGGGTCCGTTTGAAAGGCAGCATTCAGAGGAGTCTTGCGATTCCACTCCCCGCACCAGCTACACTGAATAGGGACAGGCATTGGCAAGCAAAGTTTCCAGGACAAGGGCAACATTTGTCCACCTCTCTTCCCCAGGAGGGACCAGGTGCTATACAGAGCATCTTCCAAGAACTCAAGAGATATATGAGACAGAAACAACTCCATTTTTGATTCCATTCCCCATCAAACACTTACCCTGATGAGTGAAGTATAAAAGCAAGGGACAAGTAATGGTAACATACCTAAGTTATGCCAAGCTCAGCCAATTGTTTCCCTTTCCCAAAGTGAAAGCAGACAGTAACTTACATTGCAAATAAACTTATATTATGATTAAAGTTCTATACGACCCTTTGTCTGAGGATCACAGGACGTTCACAATATAAAAACACAAATATACATATTACAACAATGAAATAACCACCCACCCAGTTTTAAAGGCCATAGATTGTTTAGCCAAAGGCCTGGATGTAGAGGAATGTTTTTGCCTGGTGCCTAAAGATATGGAACGAAGGTGTCAGGTGAACCTCCCTGGGGAGAGCATTGCACAAATGGGGAGTCACCACGGAAAAGGCCCGTTTTCATGCTGCCAACCTCCGGACCTCTTGTGGAGGCACACAAAGGAGGGTCTCAGATGATGATTGCGGTCCCCGAGGTATTGCAGTCTCGAGCCATTTAAGGCTTTATACTGTAGATCAAAACCAGCACTTTGAATTGGGTCTGGAGACTAATTGGCAGCCACTGCAGTCAAGCCAGGATTGGTGTAATATGCTCCAACCATCTTGCCCCAGTGAGCAGCCTGGCCACTGCATTCTGCATCATCTTCAGCGGCAGCCCCAAAGGTTCAGTAAACTAACCTACAGGCCACTGGAGCATAGACAACAGACAATAGGTCAGGCATGGCCAAACATGGTCCTCTAGCTGTTTTGGGACTACAATTCCCATCATCCCTGACCACCGGTCCTGTTAGCTAGGGATGATGGGAGTTGTAGTCCCAAAACAGCTGGAGGGCCAAGTTTGGCCATGCCTGCAATAGGCTATCCCTGTGTAGATAGGAGTGCAGCTGGGCCATCAGCCAAAGCTACCGAGGCTACCTGAGTCTCAAGCAACAACAATGGATTCAGAAGTATCCCCACATCCTTCAGAGGAAGTATACTGCCAACACATGCAGGGAAGCGCTCACCCTTCCAGTCTAGGGAACTAATAGTGCCTCAGTCTTATCTGGATTGAGCTTCAGTTTGTCGGCTCTCATACATCCCAGACAATAGTCCAGGACAACCACTTCCTGCTTGGCTGCTATGATGACCGGCTGCCCATTCCATTGGAGCCGTCTCACACAGAAGATTTTGAGGATGAGATGAGAGTAATCATCCTTCCAAACCACCACCCCCCAGGGCTTGGGAGGGCAGCTTCACCCGCAGATTGCCCAACACTTGCTCCCAATCTGGAAGGAATGAGGGGGCACTGGGTGGAAAGCACCATGCGTACTTTTGGCAACTCTCCAAAGCTGCCGCCATGAGCAACCAACACCTGTTTTTAAAGATGAAATTTGGACTTAATTAACGGGCATGCTCTGAGCGAGGGGAGGTAAATTACACTGCTAACTGATTCAGCCACTGGGGTGCCAAAGGATTTGAGTGGAAGGATTACCATCACTACGGGATTGGTATGTCAGAACGGAAGGGGGGGGGGAGCCTCCATTATTTCTTTTTGATATACTTCGTATTTGCTATCTTACTTGGCAAATCTTCCTGGAAGGACTGACTGCCGGATTGCTTATGTACACAAACGGGACTGGAGAGTATTTTCTTATTGTTATAATTTTGGTCTAATTATTAACTGTGTGGAAATGATTTATGAATTTGCAATTACCTTCAACGGATTGTTAAGAATAGAAGATGGAAATTGGTTTCTAGCTAAAGTACAGACTTATTTGTCTTGGAATGAGATAAAACAAAGAAGTTTGGACATATGCCTGGTACAATTGGCAGAAAGCCAGATTTCCTTCATCTCGGGACGTGTCGCAGTGGAAAATCACAGGTGCGAGAAAGCGAAAGTGAAATGCCACGGACAGACTGTTGGAGTACAAAGAATATAAAGAGAGAAATAAAAAACAAACACCCACAGAGAAACATACAATATTGGCTTAACTCGCTTGCCAGACGAACTCAGAGGCTGTTAAAAATAAATGAAGGATTAACATCCGATTGTTTTATTGGAACTACCTGGACTAATTAAGAGAAGCAGCATAAATGTGAGATCATCATCACCCCCCTGAACCTCAGAGCATAGGAAGCCAACCAAAGACATATAATTTGCCATAAAATTTGGATTGTTTGATTATTTTATAATTTGGAATGTTATCAATGTGGTTTTTATTGGATTGTTAAAATGGAAAACTTAATAAATATTATTATTATTAAAAAAAAATGTCCAGGACAACCACTGCCACACCTCCAGGTGTAAAGGAGAAGCAGAGCTGTGTGTCATCAGCATATTGCAGACAACATATTCCAAACTCCGGATGACTCTGCTCAGCCATTTCATGCAGATGTTAAACAGCATGGGGGATAAAATCAAACCCTGGGGAAATGACCATCCAAGTATGACCAGAACGACAGCAAATCAGAGCCACTCACCCCTAACTTGGACTGAAAGCCTCTGAGAGGCCAAGGAGAGGTGAAGGATACATTTCCCCTCTCCTGACAGAGGTCATCATTCAGGATAACCAAAGCAATTTCTGTGCCAAAACTGGGCCTAAACCCTGATTGAAACAGATCTAGAAAATCAATTTCCTCCAAGATCGGCTGGATCAGGTCCACAACCACCTGCTCAAGGAGAGATCAGCAACTGGCCGATAGTGACTTAGATTTTCTGAGTCCAGAGACGGTTTCTTGAGGAGTGGTTTCAGCACTGCCTCCCCCAAGTAGGCAGGAACCAGCCCCTCTTGCAAGGAGACACAAACCACTTCCCTGGTCCAGCCAGCTGCATCCTCCCTGCTAGTTTTTATCAGCCAAGAGTCCACAATGCCCTGACCGATCCAAGCACCTTGTCCACATCCTTGAGCCTTACTAACTGAAACTAATTTTGCATAACAGGACTAGACAGCACTCTGGAGACCTCTCGAGAGTCATCTGTTGTAATCGTGGAGTCAAGGTCTCAGCAGATGCAAGTGATTTTATGCTCAAAATGCTTTGCAAACACAGTTAGCTACCATCTGCTCTTTCACCTCCATTGGGCCAGACTGTAAAATGCCTTGCACTACCACGAAAAGTTCTGCTTTCACTATAATATGGTATGATATAATATAATGTCTTTTAAAATTGGCAATAAAAGGAAAGAAGAACAATTACAATTTCGCTACTGCACACTAGTACAGCTAGAAAACGAATGAATTAATTTATCTTACTTCCCTGCAACAGAAGTTCTCTAGATGGCAAACACAACAATTACATAAAATAAAGAGAGAGTTGTATCCAATGCTGGTCATACTCGGAGTAGGCCCATGGGCTTTCATTTCAAATTTTGATCCAAGAATCTGCTACAAATAAAACTTAGTTGGAGACAAATCGTATCTTTCCAATCTAAGAGAAAAGCTCCCAGGGGAGGCTTCCCCACCCGCTTCCCCAGCAAAGCAAACCCAGGGGGGGGGGGGGCTCAGCACCGGCAACTAATTGAGAAGAGGATTAGATGAATTCATGGGTGTGGAGGCTACCAGTGGCGGGGCTGCTTCCGGGAGCCCCTGGAGGGGGGCGAGGGCTTCCCCGGGGGCACCTGCGAGAAGAGGGCGCTGGGCCGGAGGACGGGTCCCGCAGGGGGAAGGGGGGGTCCCAGGGTCATCCTGCAGCGCAGGACTCTCGGCCGAAGCCCCCCCCGCCGGCCCCTCGGAGCCCCTCCCTCACCAGGCCGCGCGCAGCAGCGCCTTCGTCGGCAGGAAGCCCAGGATCCTCTCCACCACCTCGGCGAGGTTGCTCAGCACGTAGCCCCCTTTCGGATCGGGCTCCATAGCAACGCCAGGCCGCGCCGGTAGCCGAGCAACCAGCGGAAGCGGAGCGGGAGCCGGAAGCGACCTCGGCGCGCGTCATCAGACCTGCGACAGCCTCGGCACCATAGAGACGGAGCCGAAGGGAATGGGCGAGCGCCGCTTCCGGCGGCCCAGGGGCTCCTCGGCGCTCTTGCTCCGCCTCTGGCGCCGGAGAGAAAGGAGTGAGGCGGAGGAAAGCAGCCTCCCTCTGGACCAGGGAGAAGGGACGCTCTGCGCCCGCTTGACCCTTTTCTCTCTCTCCCGAAGCCGCGAGGGGAAGGAAAGGCCATTTCCGCCTTCAGAAGGAAGCCGGACCCAACCGGAGGGGAAATAAGCGGGGAAGGGCAGGATGGCGCAGGGCAAACTCAGGCCCTCCGATTCGGGGCTTTTCTTAGCAAATTCTATTAAAATAAAACTCCCAGTATCACGATGTCTCTCTAAAATTCCGGGTTGTGATCCCAGCATGAAACCATTCACAGCTACCACACTCTCTCGCCACTACTTCCAGGGAGCCACAATAGCGCTGCTGGCCTCTTGCCATCACTTCCAAGATTAACCCATTTTCTTCTGGCCTAACTTTTCCTAGAGTTCATTTCATGAGATGCATGAAAACCTCCGCATGGAGATTTATAAAACATGCCAGGCTTTTAAGGTGTCCAAAATTCTGTCTGTTTTGCTGTAGCAGACTAATACAGCTGCCCATATGCTTTGAAACTAGTATGTTTAGCCCCACTTAGAATACTGAGCACAGTTCTAGTAGATCTCCAAATGGTAGAAAGGAGTACCAAGACCATGAAGGTAAAGTTATAAGAAAAGGTTACAAAGTATGGAGGGTGTATTTTAGTTCAGAAAAAAGCCCCTCTCACACGACACACGAATCCAGGGTCATTCAGGTAGCAGGAAAGAGATTTTGGATAAGGCAAACAGAAGTCCTTCACACAGCCCATAGTTGAGCTATGAAGTTTGTACAGTGGTACCTCAGGTTACAAACACTTCTGGTTACAAACTCCGCTAACCTGGAAGTACAGTAGTACCTCGGGTTGAGAACTTTGCCCCAGGATGAGAACAGAAATCGCACATCGGTGGCAGCGGGAGGCCCCATTAGCTAAAGTGGTGCTTCAGGTTAAGAACTGTTTCAGGTTAAGAACAGACCTCCGTAACGAATTAAGTTCGTAACCAGAGGTACCACTGTAATTGCAAAATGTCATTATGGGTACAAAATTAGATGGCTTTAAAAGGGGATTATACAATTTGTGGAGGATACAACCACCACCAACTACAAGTCATGAGGGCTTCATGGTATAACAGGGATCACTGGAAGTAAGCCCCTGAACAGCACTTGCTGGGAATTTATTGAGAGGCACTTTTTATCCTCATGCTTTGCCTGTGCTCGTGTAATCTCACTGTATACAAGTTGTACAAGTGACAATAAAGTATTTCAATTTCAATCAAAGTAGAGGAAATTGTGCACAAGTGAGACTTCATGCATTACACTTGTATCCCACTTTTCTTCCAAGAAGGTCAAGGTCCCCCCCCCCCCCAATTTTATCATGAGAACCACCCTGGGATGTAGTTGCAGCCGTGTGTTGACTAGAAAATTCCTATAAGGGGTATCTGAAGGAACTGGATATATTTAGCTTGGAGAAGACTAAGAAGGGACAAGATTGCAGTCTTCAAAATACCTAGAAAAGGCCAACATTTTGCTGTCTACTGGCCCAGTATTCTGGCTCACTACTCACCTCCTCATGAATCCCAGAAACCAGTATTTCAAGGCATACTGTCTTTGACAGTGGAGGGGTGTGTGTGTGTATCCAAGCTGGTGGGAATCACTACCTCTTGAAGGGACAAAGTGCATAGCACTGTGTGTTTGTCCTGAATCCTCAGATACTATGCTGCATTGGGGCCCCAGGTTCAGTATCACAAGATACTGCATACACTTTCTCCATGCCATACATAATTTCACACACCTCTATGATGTCCATTTACTTAACTTTTCTTGAAACTAAAATGCCCCATATAATAAATCCGTACACGGTTTCCTGCTCTCAAGGATTTTTTTCCCTTGGGGGCCGGAGGGAACTTTCCCCCTGCCGAAGAAATTTACGGTAGGTTTTGTGGGGCACTGAGGGGACTCCACCCTGAGTAACCTGAAGACCCCCCAAACCCTGCATGGCTCTCTGGTTTCTACTTTTGCATTCATTGTCTCAGACTGCAGACAAACAGCTTCAAATATTTTCTTTAAAGCAGCCAACAAAGCTTCAAAATTACTTCAGTCACTAACTTCATGTCTATATGAATCTGTATCACAGAATGTTATGTGTGAGACTGAAAGACAAAACCAACTCTTCATGAGAGCTTTTGAGTGAGAAGTAGGTCATTTAAAATTATCACAGTGCTCTCTCACTTTCGCCAAGTTGTGATTCATGCTTTTGGTTTTTTCTAGTTTCTAATTCAGTGACAAAAAAGACAATAACTTAGCTTCTTCATTTGCAAATGTGAACATGCAGCTTTTATGCAGGCCCATTGAAGAAGAAGAGTTTGGATTTGATATCCCGCCTTTCACTCCCTTTTAAGGAGTCTCAAAGCGGCTAACATTCTCCTTTCCCTTCCTCCCCCACAACAAACACTCTGTGAGGTGAGTGGGGCTGAGAGACTTCAGAGAAGTGTGACTGGCCCAAGGTCACCCAGCAGCTGCAGGTGGAGGAGCGGAGACACGAACCCGGTTCCCCAGATTACGAGTCTACCTCTCTTAACCACTACATCACACTGGCTCAATGCAATAAGTGCATTGAAACTAATGAGCCTATGTTAGCCATATCTATTTACTTCAGTGGGTCTACTCATGGGTTGAATACCACACTATGGGCTTAAACACCACTACTAAAGATTGGTATTATGCCTTTTAAACTATTGTATTAGTGTACAGCATAGTAGATCACCTTTTAGTACTGTGTGCCATTTCTCATGTTTACAAAACATCAGCTGCAAGATACCACACTCAGTCATTGAAAGCAGACTCCTTCCAGAAATAAAGTGACAAACAGAATTCTTAAAATGGTTCTTTATTCATAAACTTGATGCAAGTTTACAGATTACCGTACACTGCTAAATAATTCTGCAATGAAAAATGAAACTCAGAAACAATAAAAAGCAAGCCAAGTGTGCACCTGTCATTCTGCTTGTCCATTAGAATACTAAAGAATTCAATAATGTATTCAAAGTTTTAACCTCAGCTTTGAAAAGGAGCTGCAGAAATGCTTACAGAATTCGGCCTCTGCCTTATGGCTGCTAACAGGATTTCACTGGAATAATATGTACAATCAAACAAGATGGGAAGCTGGAAGTCATCCACTCCCTAAAAGACTGCATGAAACAGTCTTTGACCAGGCCAAATCCTTCTAATCCAATCCTCCAAGCTAAAAAAATCCAAACAAAAACAGCATATGTGACCAAATGCCTGGGCACAAAAAAGCACAAATTTAGGATTTTTTTCTCCAAGGTCAAGAAGGAGGGCTGAGGGGCAGAGACATTTCTGGAGACCCCCCTCCCCCCAAAAAGTGCTTATACCCTTATTTCCTGTGAACAAAAAGGTCTAGTCAATTTCAGCTACCAAAAAATAAAAATCACACCTGATTTTTTTAAAAAAGGTAAGGCAATGTTATAGCAGTTCCCGACCCACAGCAGCTACAGATCCAGATTCATTTCCTAAATGGAAGAGCAGTTCCCCATTAGTTTTTCAACGAAACCATGGTCACAACTATAGCAACCTTCTTAAAAAAACTCTGAATCAAGTGATCCCTGGGACTTGTTACTGTTGCTTTTGTTTAAAAAAACATTTTCAAAGGAGTGTCTTCTTGATTTCTGCCAATTGCTTTTTAAAGTTCATTACTCTACAAATGATTGCAACAACCCGTTAATAGAATCGAATGCCTAAGAAGGTTTCTAGTATTTTAAATAACTTCAAGCTTTATATCTATGGCTCCTCCTTTCAAAGGAGCCAACAAGAGCCAACAAGTAGCAAAGTAGCCCAGCAAAAAACCGATGCCCCAGTGGATATGACTAGTCACAAAGTTCTCTTGGCACAGCCTGGCTCTGCTGAAGCAGCAGGGCACCTCAAGGGCATCTCTGCCCAGAAACAGCTCATATCCTCAATACAGCCATGAAAGAAGAAGGAAAGTTTTAACGATTTAACATTACGGTTCTCCTATCATCATCAAATTTGGCAATACTATGAATGCTCTCAGTTATAGACCAAGGGGAGGAGGAAGGAGTCTGATTTAATGAGACCTAGAAACGTTGTAACATATTATTAAACTAACTTTATTCAACTTGGTTGGCTTTAAATAAAATAAATTGCAGTTGTCTGCAGTTTGGAAAAACAAATAAGTGCATACAAAAGGGGGGAGATCTTAATGACTGGCATTTTTGTAAACCCCAAGAGCCCAGTTTGAAGGATTCACACTCTAAAATGGAGTGGGGATTGGTATGCTTAATTCATGGGGACAATAAAGTTTTAAAACTGTTCAGTTGAAGATACTTGACAGAAGAGCAGAATTGTACAGCTGTAGCTTATACTGGATGTGTCAGTCAACAGATTATCCACTAGTTATCTATGAGCTAGAATCTTCAGTATGGCTGTTATGGGGGCATTCATAGTTGAATCTGTGTTGGAAGGAAAATCTTTTACTGACATTGGTCCAAGTGTATGAAAAGTCCACAATGTTAACCATCTTCTTTAGGAGGTGTGAACCAGCCTGCAGGAAGTATATATAAAAAAAGATTTGGCATTAACAAATGTGCAGCAGTGGTGGCAACACCCATTTTGTAATTGCACACGTGCTTAATAACTATATAATATACCATGATACTTGGTTGAAGCACCAGTGCAGACAGGTGTTCTGAGCATCCACATAAGACAACATGAGTTGTTTAATGTGTTTCAGTCTACATATAAATAACTCGGTGCGTAAGAATCCAGTTCTGCAACTGGAAGATATTATGCAAAAACCAGCAACATTTGGAAACAATTTACTTGACGGACTGTCCTAATGATCAAACATGCAAG